CACATACATACCACCAGACCCCCGATCGATGTATGGGTATATTTTGGCTCGAACTTTGAGCCATGACCTGAAAGATCGCGAAATTGAAGGCACACAATTTGCGTCTGAACTCCCGTCTATGAAGCTCCTCTCGAAGCAGTCAGCCGAGTTCTTGAACGAAGTTTGCCTTCGTTGGCGAATCCCCTTCTTTTCTAGGCTAGTGCTGTTCCTGGAAGTTGTCCGATCGAAATTTGTAGACAACGAGATCGACCTCGACACCCTTGATTCAGCATTTACCTATATCAAGGAGACACCATCATCGGAGAAAAAGCGCAGCAGCTTTGTGGCTACCGTTCTCTTTGACCGACACAAGTGGACTGTACACGATTTGCTCTCGATGCAGCAGTTACTCTCCTCTCTCCATGAAGCACTTCTGCGGGAACTATACGACGTCATGATGGACTGTTACGAAGGGAGACCTCGACCTATTGGTCCGGTAATGTATGTTCTAGAAAATCATATTCAGCTTGATCCCAGCTACACAGAGGATCTGGAGGATATCAACCGTTTTCGTTGTTACGTTCAGGATGGTCTCGCCCAGAAAGCAACAGAAAAATATCAGGACCTACTCGGGCAGTATGTCCCAATGGATCAGGAGACCTGGCAATTCGACCATATCATTCAGCTTTGTGAGGCCATAACAAAACTTGCTCAAAAGATTAGAAAGCGCTACCGAAATAACCCGGAGATCATGGGGTAAGATGCAGTTATTTCAAATAGTAGTCTTCTACTCACAGAATACAGGGTCAACCCATACAAGATCTTGCTTTCCAACGTGTTGCCGATATTCGCAGAAGACGCTCATGAAATGGTGGCCCGAATCGTCGAACAGGGCAAGTTGAGAGGGGAGGAAATCCCAATAGAGGATGGTTTTGATTTATATAAGCAACTCACGACTATACGTCAACTCTTCATCGAGGCACTCCCTAGGTAGGACCATCGCTGCTAATGCAAAGTGTCGATACTAATGTGAAACCAGCGCTCCTTTCCCATTCCGTGTTGAGGATTTGCTGGAAGAATTTGTCTGGCGGTGGATCCGCATGACAGAGGAGAAGATTACAGAGTGGGTTGAGCAGGCTGTCAGACAAGATGCCTTTGCCGTCCGATCTGATGACTCAATGGAGATGACCCCAGAGGAGCATCGGCACAGCGTTTCTGTTATAGACATATTCCGCTCATTCAATCAAGTGGTAGAGCAAATGATTCAACTCGGGTGGGACGATGACTTCCAGTACGCGAAATTCATGACTGCATTGTCCAAATCGATTTCAAATGGCCTTGCAAAGTACTGCGAGTCGTTGGAGCAGATGTTCGCGCGAGAAATGGACAGGCTTTCGCCAGATCAAGAGGCAGCTTTGAATCAAACAGCCCAGGAAAAGCTGATGCAAATCGCCAAAGAAGCGTGGGCGAGCAAAGAGAAGATTGAGCCATTCCAATTCTTCCCTGAGGTATGTCAGCTCCTGTTTTATCCCTCTTCACTCCGCACTCTCAGTCTGTCTTTTTATTGCCTGGTAAGGTTGTTTTGCATGGTTGACGATTTCATAGTCACTGGTCAAACTGAACAATGTTGAATATGCCCTTACCCAGCTTGACAAGCTAGAGCGTGAAATAAACGTTGATGGCTGTGCAGATGTTATCGCCAAGCATGCCCCTCCACAGATGCAGAAGATGCGCAGATCAACAACCTATGTCTTCACAATTAAGGTCGTAGAAGCTGAAGATTTGAAAGCTTGTGATATGAATGGGGGCAGTGACCCATATGTGGTGCTGACAGACGAATATCAGAAGCGCATTGCTAAAACTCGTATCATCTACAACAACCTCAATCCACGATGGGATGATTCTGTTGATATAACAACACAGGGTCCTTTAAACATCATTGCAACAATATGGGACTGGGACGCAGTGGGCGACCACGATTATGTCGGCCGCACTTCTATAAAACTGGACCCTTTACATTTCAGTGATTTCTTGCCGAAGGAATATTGGCTTGATTTGGACACACAGGGCCGATTGCTACTCCGTGTCAGCATGGAGGGAGAACGGGACGACATACAATTTTATTTTGGTAAAGCCTTCCGCACCTTGAAACGTACGGAGCGGGATATGACCCGCAAAATCACGGAAAAGGTAAGTCCAAACACACTCCAGGGCTCTGGGCTCTGAATAACAAGTATCGTCAATAACACAACCAATAGCTGTCTGCTTATATCAGCCATTGTTTATCGCGTCGAACCCTGAAATCCTTACTATCGCGTGGTCTCAGTATCTCCAGTGTTTCAAACTTTCTTAGCCGAAATAAGGCGCAAGCTACTGCCACAGGGCCATCAAACGCGGATGTGGAGAATGCACTAACTCCGCTTTTCGACTACTTTAATGATAACTTTGCGATTATGAACAAGACCTTGACATCTGAAGCTATGAAAATGGTTATGGCCCGATTATGGAAAGAGGTTCTCAGTACTATTGAGTGCTTGCTTGTACCTCCCTTGTCCGACAAGCCATCCCATCAGAAACCTCTCACCATGCAGGAGGTTGATATAGTCTCACGCTGGCTCGTGCTGCTCTTGAACTTTTTCCACGCTATCGATGAGGAAACCGGTGAAGCAAATGGGGTTTCGATTGATATCTTGAAGTCGCCCAAGTATCACGAGATCCAATCTCTTAACTTTTTCTACTTTGAACCCACCGACAACCTCATTCGCACATCTGAGAGGATGGCCTCGGCAACCATATCTCGGCAGCAGGCCAATAAAAACCGAGCGTCCGCGCCGGCCCATCTTGGTTCTGGAGGATCGGGCGGATTCCTCGGCGTTCCTGGTGCTCGGCGAGCCAAGAGCATCATGCTCTCGCGGAACCTGGGCACAATGAAGAAGATGAAGGAGGAGAAATGGCGCGAGGCTCAAGCCGAACCAAATGATGACATGATCTTGCGAATTCTCCGAATGAGGCCAGAAGCTGCTGGCTACCTGCGTGATCGAAGTCGTCAGAAAGAGCGACTCGCAGCTGCCGCGGCTGCGGATGCCATTGTGAAACAAAGCCTGATGGCTGGTGGGGGAAGGATGACGGGAACTTTGGGGCGACGATGACTGCTATGAGACGTTTATTTGTTTTACACTGAGTCTGTTTTTACCTTTGGAAGTGTGTTCCAGCATCGCTTGGCCATTTTTTATGCGCGTGATGATTCCCACACCGTCTGTTTTAAGTTACGATGCGCTTATTGTCTTCAGGTAGTATTTACAGGGTTCCTACTTATAATGAATGAGACACTAATTACCAATGAATGGTCATCCGGGGTAGTAGTAGGCCGGGCCCCATTTAACACTAATCACATCTGATTGCATTTTGATTTGTATGCCATGTAGAAGAAAACGTTTTGATTTACTCCAGAGCGATGCACTCAATCTCTACAGGCACACCCTTAGGGAGCTGGGCGACAGCAACACAGCTACGAGCGGGCTTATGAGTGAAAAACTTCTCATAGGTGGCGTTCATCTCGGCGAAGTTCGCCATATCAGTAAGGAAAACCTGGTAGAGTATCTCGGTCAGCCACAGTCTCCTCGCGATTTGATGATAGAGATCAGAGAAGGGTAGGACGGTTGTTGACCAAAGGAGAAGAAGGGGAGGTAGGATAGTAAAGGCAAGGAAAGTTATACGCACGTTGACCTTGACGATCTTGTTGACGCTGGAACCAGCAGCTTCAACAATAGCCTTGATATTGTTGCAGCAAGCCTGGGTCAACTCTCCAATGTTTCCGGTGACAAGGTTTCCAGAAGCGTCAGCGGGGATCTGGCCGGAGACGAAGATCTGGCCATTGGCACGGACGGCTTGGGACTGTAGGATAATTGACATGTCAACAACTTTCGACGCCGTGGTTTGGGGTGGGGTGACCATGGGGAAGAGAAAGGAAATATGTATAGACGGTTTGCTGTTCGGTTGGAAGACTTACGTAGGGGCCAGCAGCTGCGACGAGTCAACTTGTTAGCTTAATCTTGTATGGTCTGTCCGGGCGATGGCAATTGAATAGTAACAGGTATCTTATACAAGGGCGGGATTGATCGAGGGCAGTTGGGATGGTAAAGATGACTCACGAGGACAAGCACCGGCGGCGGAGATGGGAGTCATGCCAGACATATTGACGATTTGAATGGGGAATTGAGGTCGGAGGGTACGAGGAAAAGAAGAGGTTAGTGATGAGGAGAGAAGCTGAGGGTGGGCAATTCGAGCGGAAAGAACACGAGAGCTGATCCGCAACATGTATGGAGGGGTTGAGTCCTATTTATTTGGATATAACAGAAGTATTCCGCGGGAAAGAGTGTCCTTGGGTGATTGATGGTCGGAGATGGGGTTCTTAATTTCGACCCCTCCCGACATAGGTGGGGCTTCTTGTCTTGTTCCCAGAGGGCGTTTCTTTTCCTTCTTGCAAGGTACCAGATACGTCCAGTAGATTCCCCGCGGGCGAATTTCTATACTAGGCTTGTATCAATGGGGTTTCGTTTGTTGAACTATGTAAAGATATACGTAGGTATGGACATCCCTGCATATATTTAGAGAGTATATATATATATATATACGTATACATATTATGCGATAGTATTCTGTTATCGTGATCAAAGGAGTTTAACCCTTCGAATTATGTTTGTTTTCTTTTATTTTTATTTATTTATTTATTTACATATTCCCCCCCCACCCATTCTCGAATGAAATCATCTGTCCCAAGGACGGTTTATGATAAAATTGCCCAGAAAGAGGCGGGCCCGCAAAGAGGAATTAATTCCATATAGAAAGCATATAAGTCTTGACGTCGACAAAATCTTGGCAATGATCGACAACGCGATCGAGCCAAACTTCCCCCATGATTTAACTGTACATAAACGAACAGGGATCGTCAAATTTCATGCTAACACAGCACATGGCCCACCCAGGCCAAAGGAATAAACCTCGAAACAAAAACGGCAGACATGGTCGACAGAGTACAAGCCCATCTCATAAGCCTCGATTTTCACCTATCCATACCTCCATTAAAGCCATCTTTGTGACCTCCTTCATATCGCTGCTGGCCTTGATTTCGAACCAAACCCTCTATGGCGACCATATTTACTCCCCCAGGTACTCTTCCTCCAACAAGGTCATCAGCGCAGGAATTGCGGGCCATACTTGCTCTTTGCCCACAGCGCGCTATGATATCAGTACCGGTAGGGCCGCATGCTCCCCTTCATCAGGAGGTATATGGATGGCCGAGCTTAGCGGCCTTGAACTGCAATGCCTGAATATTGACCGCTTCAACTCATCCGAGAGATCCTGGGATCGCGATGAAGAGAACCATTTCTGCGAGCAACTTCGACCATTCGGGGGTTCCTGGTATCCTTCACATCTTTCAGATGGGTTATGGATCGATGGAAGATGTAGTAAGCTACACAAGCTAGAACCAACATTGTCGGTTTTCCGTCGCATTGGTTACCCCGAGGGAGGAGGCGTATGGGTTTTGGGTATCCACAGCGAACTCTCATCCAATGAGACAGCAGTGCGAAATGCCCTGACAATGGAAGAACGGTGCATTGTTCTAGAGAGACTGGGGGCCATCTTCTGTAAAGATATCAAGTGTTGCTCGGCTTTAACTGATCTTTCCAAAGAACCACACGAGCTGGTAGAAGAGAGGATGAGACCGAGAAACCTGGAGACAGCAAAGCATGTATCTTAGCTTTACCCCTAGATTTGAGTAGCCCATACATAGTATACTGGGATTGACTTGTTATTTCCGTGAAAAGCACCGTGTACCACTGGAAATTGACGTTCATATGTCGAGCTGGCCAAGGAGGTATCGGATTTCCAGCGAGGATTATATACAAGGTAAAGGCATTCCACTGGTATATACACTCAGGATATGTAGGCACATAAGGCCGATGAGGTGGCAGATATGTCCTGATAGTCATGGCGTCGTCATCACATTCATCACAGCAAGGACATGAAACATAGGTGAACGTCAGCAACAGTTACAAGGCACGATCCATGGATATCACTGTTTATTGATATGAGATCCCAATTGCTGCAAGAAAGAAGAAGTTTGCTCTGGGGAAAAGCCAAAGAATACAGGACCGTTGAATACGATACTGGCCGGCGAGCTGGTTGGGGGAGGATGAGCGTGTGTATGTTCTCCAAAATCCTGCTCCGCAGTGTCAATGGTTCCGTTCTTCTTCCCATAATCGCGAATGGTCTCTGTCTCCGGTGCTGTATTGACGGCTGGAGCTGCGCCATGGCCGAAAGGACAACGACCAGATTTGGGTACCGTAGAGTCACGGGGCGGAATGGCAGAGACTCCGATAGCCTCTTCCTCCGAGGGCTTCTTCAAGTTCTCAGGAATTGCCGCGGCCGGTGGAGGAGAAAGTGGAGGCGATGCTGAAGGAGGCAAGGGCATCGGGACAGGAATTCCCCAAGGCCTGCTTGGAGATTCACCAACGCGGACCTCGCGTAGCGGACGGTCAAAGCGGCCCTCCCTCCCATTGTCGTTCTCTGTCTCGCCCTCTTTAATAGAGGGCTGCATCTCCGGATTTATGCCAACCTCTTCTGCCCACTTTTCCACTCGTTCGGCAGAGGAACTGGAGGTTGGCGCGCCGCTATTACCACGGTTCGGAAGGAACGCTTGATGTTTGACGGATAACCCTCGAATCATATTAATGAGACTACCATACTTTGCATCTAGATGCCGCATGCTATGGGAATCCTTCTGATAACGCTGGACACAAATTGCATGACTTCGGGGTATTTCGTGTTTGTGCCTTTCAACATAGTCGGCAATTTCTTCCGGGCTATGCTGGTCTAGGTATCTAATAGGGCACCGAGCAACAGGACATTGGGTGGTCGATGTCCTCACCGAAGGAGTCTGACTAGAACGCCTATCATTTCGTTCAGCCTTTATTGGGTCTAAACTTTCGTGTCCACACGTGTCATCATTCTGGATGTTGAAAGGATTCTCAATCACATTAGCCACCCCATTATCATTAGACGTCATATTCTTAGACTTTGCGAATGGGCAGTGCAGATTTCCCTGAGTGCCTTTGGTGGTGAAGTCTTTTTCTAAAGAGCCAGGAGCTCCGGCCCTAGTGGCAACAAGACATGGATTGGGCTCGGGGTCACTCTGTGAATTCAGGACAGATTTGTAACACACCACCCCGTCCGCTATTGGTTTGAGAGTCTGGTCGCCTACATTGCAAGACTCTGCTAGTGCTCTTACTACATCGGGAGGACTAAAAGACGCAGATTTTTGGTTCCCGAATTCGGAGGAGTGACCGCGAATCCTTTCTGAGACGATCTTGGCATGAGTGTCAAGACCGCCGGGAAGTCGACCTGCGAGCTTCATATACTAGTGTGGCCGTTAGCACAAGGATACGCTTCAAGAACACGACCAAGGTAGAGAACATTGTTGTTGATATGCCTCATCAGATAATACATGACATGTCCGTCACCGCCGCAAATGCGACTCCTGATCTAGAGCTAATCGATTTTTCTCATCATTTGAGGCAGAGGGGTAGAAGGGCTTGTGTGGAGTTGACAAGGGGAAGAGTGCCTACCTCATCATAAGCATATTCCAGCTTCTGTTGCAAGATATTCTCCTTGCAGATAAATTGCTGAGTGGTTAGCAAAAGAGCTTCGAAAGCTTTCGCCAGGGTCTGAAGTTGTGGATCCTGCTGCAGAGAGGCAGCGACAGGTGCAGGAGACATAGTGCTTTGAGCAAGGGCGATTACAAGACAATACACATCACATCTGATAGTTAAAGCTTAAGTAGCACTTCTGCACTGAGCAGAAGTGCAGCTTGAAAGTCATGAGGTAAGATGGCGGGAGAAAAAGAAAAGCGGAAGATCACTGCCTGGAGACATACGAAGAATCGTTAAGCGAGGTGGACCGTGCAGTAAGCACGTGACATATGATTACAAACAGTAACTATAAATACATTCAGCACAGTGTAAATATTCTTCTTTATTAAATATTTAACAAAGTACGGCATCAACAAATAGCCGGGCTAGCTCAATCGGTAGAGCGTGAGACTCTTAGTCGTCACGGTATCTCAAGGTTGCGGGTTCGACCCCCGCGTTCGGCTGTTCTCTTTTGCCTCCTGATCCTCTTGCAACATATAGGGACAGTGGCTTTTTCTTTTCTTTTTACTTTTTGTTTTTTGCCTTACTTAGATTTTGTGACTGACAATATCACACTGCGAGGAGCATACACTGTAAAACGCAATACAGTAACAAGGAGCTGCTGTAATGCCTCGGCGATACAACCTGGAAGGTATGTAGTATGCCATACGGGGTGGAACCGTTGGTCCCAATAGGTTCCGGGCTCATCGGGCACCGTTGTGGTATATTCGGGGTTGCATAAATAGTATTGATTTCGTTGCAAGAGCCAGGGGGATCGCAGCGTAGACAAAGCCATACAGGTATATGGACATCCGTGCGGCATGGTCAACGGCATGCATTGGCAGTGATGGCTACCTCGGTGCTGCAGGTGGCTGCAGATGTTGAGCTGCATTGTGGGGTAGGTGAGCGGTATTCCTCTATTTCTGAGTTATGATTAGCCGGAATCCATGTGGATATGTTGCAGTCAGGGACACCGTCATGCAGCCTGAGACAACAGGCAGACCTCGAAACTGGCTTGGGTTTTCACCAAGGAAATGGTTGGGTGCTCTCTATAGATATATTTCTCGATCTTTACAGTTACATACAAGCTGTGTTCTGTCGGGTTTCTTTGGATATTTGAATACTGTTTGTGAATGCATCGATATCAGCTATTGATATCCGGGGGCTTAGACAGTTGGGGGAGGAACCAAAGTACAATAGTATTCGTTGGTGAATTCAGGAACCAGGGCCGAAAACGATCCGGGAAGTCCGAGGGTTGCATGATATCCCCAACCTAGTAATAGTCGATATGGCACTGTCACGTCACACATGAAGCATGAAAATAGAGATACTCATATAAGTAAGGTGCATTACGGGTGTGAGACAATAATGTGGCAAATCGCTTGACATGAGGCCATGGGACAAACCTCCGTCGTCCACGATCTATATTGGTAACGCATACTTCATCTCACAGCAGCAGAGCACGCAGTAGTTTGTATTCATCGCCTTGGGCATGTACCAATTTAGCGTGATCTGAGTTGTCATTTGAAGAGAGGGACTGGATCTGTACAGAGAGCAATTCCGACTATTATGGTTAATATGATTAATCGTCGTGATTAATTTTTTACCGGTTTGACTCACTACGGATCGGAGTACTACCTGGAGTACTCCGTATGGTGGGCAGCCTGGGCATTCGGTCTAATTTCCAGAAAAGTATATTGGTGGTAAAGGAGTGCATGGAACCCAGATAGGGAATGATAGTCCAATCATTCCTTACCCGGGGATCCATCGTGGCTTGTTGATCCAATCCACTACTTGATAACCCTGACCGCATGTGTGGATTGTTGTCGTGTAATCCGCCGATATGTATAACAAGATTAGTGTTATATCCACGTAGAATTGAACCGTTCATGTTGAATCCTGCAGGTCTTTGTTTCATTCATCGATACGGTTAGGCTAGGCAACACTACTCACTATCCTCCATTTTGCTGCCTATAAGGGAGTGCCACTGAAGGGGGAGATGAAAAAAGAACCTGGCAGACTTGGAGGCAGCGCGAGAAACTTGCATCATCGCTCATGGGGAGGGGTGGAAACATTACCAGTATTAGCATGTACATACATATAGTTATCATGAGACCATTAGTCTTGACAAATGGGAGTAGATAAGGTAACAACATGGGAAACAAGGAACAATGAGTAGACTGGCAGTAGCAGTACTGTAAACATGTTAGCATCAATTGATTTATTGTGAAGTGATTGATTGATTGATGGATTCTAGACCCTTAACAACGAAACAAGTCATCAAGAGGGGTACTTTTTCTAGGTTCCCCTGCATGTAATTGTGGTATTATGGCAAGCCAGATCAGAAAAACGCGATAGTTAATCGACTTCAGTATTGGTAATTTGACCCCCTCAGTCTGATAGTGATAAATGGACAAACAGAGATCTATAGATTGACTTTCCAATTGAAATCAAATCAAATGATACACATCTTCAATACAATTTCAGTAATGCTCGGTCGACTGTGTTGAGGGGGGTAGAGCTCTTTTCGCTGAAATACTGTAAAATACGTCGGCATTCGCAATTCATACGCCAACGCAAGATCTTCGAGGGGTCAATTTTTTCTCTTTTTGGTTTTGCTTTTTTTTCTTTTTTTCCCTTTTCCCTCCCGCTCGTGCTTATCACTTTGAATTGACATTTTACTTTTCAACCACCCTCACCCTCCTGTCTTTTATTCCTTCCTCTCTTTCTCTCTCTCTCTCTCTCTTTTCTTTCCTCTTTTCTCATTATGTCTCAACCAACTCCTAACCCTCCTGATGCCGCCGCCGCCGCCCAAGTCGCCGGACAGTCCCCCTCCTCTTCCTCCCCCACCGCCGAACTCGCCAGTCTTAAAATAAGCCTGCGCGCCGCTCTCCGCCAATTCCCCGACTTCCCGTCTCCTGGAATACTCTTCGAAGATATTCTACCCATCTTTGCCAATCCTACTTTGCACGAAGCCCTTCTTCGCAGCCTCGAGTTGCACATCCTTCAAAACCACGGCAACCAGAAGCCTGATGTTATCGTCGGTCTCGAGGCCCGAGGCTTCCTTATCGGCCCCAGCCTTGCTTTGAGACTTGGCGCGAGCTTTGTCCCTGTGCGCAAGCAGGGCAAGCTGCCCGGACTATGTGCAACCCAGGCCTACGAAAAGGAATATGGCCAGGACTTTTTCCAGATGCAGGCTGATTCAATCAAGCCTGGCCAGAAGGTGATTGTGGTGGACGACATTATTGCAACTGGTGTGTATTCCTCATTCTATATATAGACATTCTTTCCTTTTCAGGAATAAATATACTGACTATATCCCAACAGGCGGTTCCGCCTGGGCAGCGGGTGAACTTATCAAGAAGATGGGTGGCGAGCTCATGAGCTTCCTTTTCATTCTCGAGCTCGAGTTTCTTAAGGGACGGGAAAAGCTTCCTGCTCCGGTCTACACTCTCCTCTCCGGCCAAGAAGAAAAGCATTAATTCACAACCAACGACACTTGCTTTCTGTTTACCTGATCATTATGATTGTGCTGCCCGTAGACGGGTCTCATTGTAACAAAGAAAACAGAAAAAATACGCATGTTTCCACTTCCCTGCACCCAGGCGCTCAGGGTTGAATCTCGACTGGTCGGGACATTGCAGCCATGACTATGAAATTGGCTGCATCTCATCGGACGGACTGTATGTCACAAGAAAATTAGAAGCACAATGCCTGCCCTACCGGGCTTTTCGCTCTCGTGAGAGTTCACCTTCGCTCGTCAGATGGAACACCGGGATAGACGATGTCGGGACAATGACCTACATCATGCACTTTTTCCTAGGGCATGCAGGGGGGAATGCGTATACACTTTTATAACACGGTTTATTGCTGGAGCATATGGATAGCGATACTATGGCAACTTGTCATCACATCGCATGTGGTTAGAAATAAGGTGTACCGTTGTAATCATCTAGTCATCGAGTCTTGTCTATTTGCAAACATCATGCGAAGTGTTATCTAGGAAAGGAAAGCGACACCAGAAAAGACCAATGACAGTCTAATTCAAAGGGATAGACTTTCTCATCACATCATCCGCCCACTTTTTTGGAAAGCCCAAAGACTCGGCCTCGCGGATCGCACGGTTCATGCGCGGAATATACTCATCTCTCGGGGGACCTACCCGCACCCTCTCCTCATCCACATAGACTAAGGTCTCGATAACTCCGCCCTCCCTCCGTTTCCTCTGTTCCTCATCCAACCACACCGTCACCGTAGCCGGAACATACCACTTGTTATAGTCCCCATGACCTTGCTCCGTCGGTCGAATATGCGCAGGAACCTTATGTGTACTTCGCGACGGCAACGCCGAACGGTCAATACCCTCGTAGCCATCAAGTAACCTCTCATCCTCGATGTCCATCTCATACAAGACACCATAAACCGTATCCTCGTCTCCAGAAACAGGTACATCTTCACCCTCATCTGCTTCCCGGCCAACACGTAACTCAGCGGGCGGTACCACATTCGCATAGCCAGCCTGGCAGATCAACCAGCGCCAATGATCCAGGCGGGCGATGGCGACCGGCTTGGATGAGAGATCAGGGTCGCATGTGCAACGGAGACGCATCTGTGTGAAGGAGAGGTTGGAGCCGTAGGCGAAGTAAAGCGGGCGGGGTTTGGTTTGCTGCGGGGTTGTTATCCCATTGTCCGAGGGGAAGGGGTTGGTCGTAATCGTGATTGTTGTATGAGCTGTCGGATCAAGTTTGACATCGCGTTGATCGAATGTTGGAGGTGTAACATGAGTTGTATCCTGAATATGCATCTTGAATGCTCGTTGCGGATGTTATATAGCGCCTGAAAAGATAGATTATCAAGTCTGCTATGCTCGAACGACTAAGTCGATAAAGCCCGAAAAGAATAAAAGGGTGGGAGTATAGTCAAGAGAATGTCAAGCAGAAAGAACAGTTGGAGCAAGGGAAAATCAAGCATGCATTTAAATATACGGAGGCCCCATCCGATCGATGGCAAGTGGAGATATATTTATTTTGTTTTCGGTTCCTCCAGATGGAGCCCGGGGCTGTGTGGTTTCCGTGGAAAGTTTGGGACTTTGCCATCTGAACCAGATTTCGGTTCCTGGCTGAGTAGTTGATATAGAACTCCTTGCCTCTATGGGTTGAGACAGCACCCGGGGGAAAGCAGAGGATATTATGGCACCTAGATTCTACATGCGATCTGTTTTATTTTTTTATTTTTTTATTTATTTTTCCCCCCATCCTACGCATATGGAAAACCAACTGTTGGCCTCCAGATTCTGTGTCAATTAGAATCCGCCGGGCGTAACTCGGCAATGAAGACATCTAACTTCAGGCCGCCCGGCAGAACCAAGAGAAGTTACTCAGGGACTGCACCAATCACCAACATGCTGTGGTGCAAAAAGTGGCGACAAGTCATGTACCTGGTAAGAGTACGGGTACGTACTCATGCCTTAACTTTTGTTTCACCGTATGGTATCAAGGATCTGGTGTTCCAGTAGCTATACAAAAATAAGCGTCTATCTAGATGATATATAGGTTATTGACCGGTATGCCCTGCGATCGCACAGTATACCGTCGCTTGATGCCGACACCCGTGGCCTGGCGGAGTAGTTCGTATGTTTCCGCTCCGCCACCGACCATGACCAGGCTGATTAGATGACGACGAGGAACCCCCCCGGCGGTTATCTGAGTTTCGTCGAGGTAAGGCCGAACAAGATATGGTTCTGCGCGGACGGCAGCTAGGCTAGAGAAATGAGTAACTTGGGACTCTAGATCATCCTCCATTGGCTCCTCGTTGTAGGAGACAACAATAACGAGCTTTAGCGCATGTTGTGAGGGTGGATATGCAGCGATACTCCTCAGCTTTTGCGAGAAACTGCACCCGCCCCGCTTGATGACGAGCACTTGGTGACTTTGTGCGATGTCACGTAGGATCCGATGGTCACAGAGCTCATCGGCGAAGTAGATCGTAGACCATGGGAGACGACTTTTAGGGACATCCCCCGTGACAGAGAATGTAGAGGAATCCTCTACATCCGGCATGGGAGTAGAGCCTAAACCAGAAGCCATAGAAGCGGGTAATGTCAGTCGTAGAAATGACTTTTTCTCCGCAGACGACCAGGCAGAATGGGGTTGCGACTCGTCCCAGAGTAACCAGGACACGTGATTCACAAATGACGATAAAGCACTCTTTACACTGGACGTAGTCGGATCTATGGCTCCAAGTTTGTCGTCAGCGGAGGACTGACCGATGATATGCTTTGGGCTATGTCCAGCAGTTGATCCCTGAGGGTCATCTGAATGGTTCCTTCGGCGGAGGTTCTCTGGGACAACGTCAATAACGATGTCAATCATTGCGGAGTCGCGCACGCGGGTGAAATTCGGATCATTGGGATCCAGGACATCGAATGTGACCTCCCGTGAGATGTATACCTTCTCATCTTTTCCAAGCGGTACATTGTTGATCACTTGTACTCGAAACTCTGCATTTTTCGTGCCAGCCGCATCCCGAGAGGGAACATCTTGAATCATGCTCAACCGGAGCCCTCCGATGGCCTTGATGAGAATGCCATCTTGGACTCGTTCTAAGGAGCCTGATCCCAGGAACATGCCCGGGAGAGACGGGAACGAAATGTCAAGTGTGGGGCGAACTGTCATTGGTGAGCTCGTCGCATTGAACGGTACTAATTCGGCTGGCAAAGTCCAAGGGAAGAATGTGTAGTTTGTGGGTGAAGACAAATCTGACAGTGTCACGCTTGGGCGGCCTTTCCCATAGTCTAGAATAGGTCCCTCTGGTGGTCCTCGGCTGGGCATCAAATGTAGCCGAGCCAAATTTGCAGCATGAAACACATCAGGACGTGCAGCGGTTGATGACAGCCCAAAAAGAGGAGGCAATGGCGCTACTGGACAAATAGCACTATTAATATGCTTGCTGACTGACAATTGTGTCTTGCGGGACTGCTGGGCAGTTGTTGTACTCTTGGGTATGATGAGTGGGTGGCCCTCTGTTGAAAACACAAACGGCTGGTCGATATTGTTAAGAGGATGCGAAGGATCAAAGAGCAAATACAGATATTTAGCCGTCTCGCCTAGGAAGAAGCTCTCCATTCTGTCATTGAGCTCACCACTGCGAACGTCTTGAAGGCCAGCCCAGCCGCATTTTGTCCAGCACCGCCTTTTAAGATCACGAAGTACCATCTCGCCAACATGTAGGTACCAAGGGTCCTTGGTGGCTTGATAAAGGTAAAATGTTGATTCAGCAAATTCTGGCCGGCCACTGTACCATGCCAGACCCCCCTCTATATCCCCCGTCGCAACATTCCACCTTTCAGGGAGGCCTGAAAACCGGGTCCAAACAGCCGTTGTTAGAAGATGGATCCCTACGGCCTCATCTAACTCTCCTGCCAGACTCAGGAGACCTGGGTAAAACGCGCTCAAGCTATCGATCCAAAACGCCCGCGTGGCGCCAGTGAAAACATCTCCTTGGATTAAATGTGGATGCTGATAGCCTTCTCCACGATACAAATGACGCTTGACTGAAGCATGTGCTTCTTGCCAGGCTTGCAAAAAGGCCTCTGCGGAGTTCTCGTACTCACTTAGGGGTGGGAAATCATTGTCCAAGGCATGCCACGAGCTATTGAGATCGCGTGGGAACCGTTCCCCCGACGACAGCAGGATATACGATTTGAAAGCATATTCAAAGAAGCTGTCAATTCCTGCACCGATCTGAGGTTCATGAAATTTTAGCTCCGCATCATTAACCTTGAATTTCCAGAAAACTTACTCCTGTGTAAGGATGAACCCATTTACCCGATTCTGCATCGATGCCTGCCCCAACTAACCCAATATCACTTCTTCTCGCCCAAACTGCCCAGAAAGCTCTTTTGCCCAGCTCCTCATACCGGCCATCTCCGGTAAGCCGGCTCAACACAGTAAACTCCAAGACTAAGCTGCCAGCGCCCGCACTGCATGTCTCCGTCGTTTCCACCAATGGAACGTGACGGGACTTACAATTCTCGTGGTCTTTAGTATTGTCACATGAGAAGGCGGCATTTAGTGGCGAGTTTGCATAGAATGGGTGCCGCCGGACTCCATGTCGCAGATTGACCCGGGGATAGGGAAGACCAGTCTCAGTATAGAAGGCGGGCAACAGACGGTTCGCTAGATCAACGGCAAGCCGCAAAAGCTGGCCATCGTAAACGAATCCATTCCCCCATTTGATTCCGTGTCTATTTATGGGGAACGAGGCTTTATCCCAAGCTTTGGCGAATGCGACCTCGACTTCAGGGGGGCTGTATATCGTAATGGGAAGATCACCCACAGAAAACAAATGAGCGCTGAGTAGTCCTCCTGTATTGCTCTGATGTCAGATTTAGGTTGGTTATTATAGAATAGAGCTCCGAACCTAGTCCCCGAATGACCGTCTCGAAAACTTGGACTTTACTGTCCATGTCAAACCCGCGGCTCCTTTCGCCCTGGCCAGCAGGACCATCTGAGCCATCGCCGTACAACTTCACAAAGTCCCTAACGCCATCCTGGAAATGTGCCCAAGCTCTTGCACCATCGTCTGGACTCGATGACAGTATCGCTAGTGAAGATAGGCTGTCGATCAAAGTCAACGAGTAATTCCCCAGAACGTCGTTCAATCCTGCATTTGCAAGGGTGTCTCGGTCGCGAACTAGCGGACGGCAGGATAGAGGGCGTAGTTCATCTTCGGGAAAGGCATGCGTAATGTAGTTGTCAAAACCGTGGTAGAACATATGCTCAGTGTCCTTTCTAGAACGCGAATCCATGTCAGTCATACTTTGAACACAAAATACACCAACAATAACAACAACGACAACAACAAGAATAATGACAAGCATTTACCTAAGTTCATTAAGCTGATCTGTCCTCATACCCCAAGCGATGGCAAGCCATAGCGAGAGAAATAAGACCCAATTCATCACCCATTCTGCACGGGGGAAGGGCATCTGTAAGCACCAACATCCCGACCGCATTACGGCAGCAATAAAACTGCCTCAGGTGGCATGGGAGCGCAATTGTCAGCCGTTACAGGCAAGGTTTTACTGGCGGAGAAATTAGTACTTTTGGGAGTACCCTGAGGTATAATGGTTGCTGAAGTGATGGTGGTAGCGAACATGCACGTGAGGCCAGTTCCGAACGGCCAGATATGCTAAATAGTCCGGTGTCTGCTGCTGGTTGCAAGTTTTCTGTCGGATATTCACAAATTTACAATATAAATCACTAATCATTTACAATAATTCCCAGTTTACAAGATGAGGATTAAAACAAATACTAAAGCAGAAATAAGGTACACCCAACGCTATAAAAAAAAGATACGAGAATGAAAAGATGAACATGGTGACTATAGATTGACCAGCACTGCTGTCTATAGTTGGTTGCTCTCCTGTCTAGATAACTCCCGCTCGAGACAACTACTGTAACGCCCAATAAAGTCCCTGGTGTATCTCAAGCAAAATGATAGCTGATATGTAAGTGGTAATAATGCGACGGGAAAAACATTCTAAAAGGAAGGAAAGGAAGAACGATATCAGATGAGGCGGCAAATAGCTCCACAGAAGGACCATCATTGACGCCCTGGCCATTCAGCAGAAGGGCCTTGGGTAAGCGATCGGGGTTGTGCTTCAATCACATAGTCGATACCATTGTCAGAAGTGTAGCTGGGAGGCCGTGGTAATGGCACCTTGCCGCCCGAGCCTTGGGCCTTGTTTACGTGTTGCGGTAAAGAGGGGGCATTGCCGTCTACGCGGTGCCAATAGAGTAAGTCTGGATTAAGTCTCTGGGATGTATAAATTAGCCAAACAGATCTGTGAGCAGTCAGTCGGAGCGCGTCTTAATATATCACTTACTACGCTACTTCTCCAGAGGCCATACGCTGGAGGCGGGGGCGTGACCTTCTCCCGGTTGGCACCATTGTTTTGAGCCAAAGTCTCCTCGTCCCCGGCGAGAATAACATGAATGGGACGCTCTGGCTGAACGTAGCCAGTTGGCCCTGCTCTGCTTGGTATCCGATTCATAGCCATAGTAGATCTGGAACCTCGCAAGGTCACCATAGAAAATCGGATAAGGGAATGAAAAAAGACAATGGCAAGGATCAGAATCATAAATATCAAAAGTATATGAAGTTCGTGGCCTAGGTGCGATTTGGAGACAGTGAACGCAAAGTCTGTACATTCGGTCAGCATACCTTTAGCCCTGAAGGGTAGATCGAACTTAGACCTACAAAGAGAAAGGGCTAGGATTAGGAACAGAGCAGATGTGGTAAGTGTGACAAGCCGTCGTCTCGTATTCTTTTCTCTTAGTATCGAGGTAAACGAGAGTGAGCGGCTGTTGGAGTTCCCAATGTCTCTTTGCACACCCTGCTCCAGCCTAATGTAGGACTGGTTCCTATCGGCAAAATCGTCCTGCTCTGATCTAGGTTGCGCGTTGGCTCTGCAATAAGGCTCTCTTGGAGAATATGATAACCGTGGTAAGCTTATAGCGGATTGATGCGATGAAGTAGACACTGAAGATATGCGATAATCCCGATGGCCCGCACTTTCGATAAGACTTCGTTGTCCATGGGTTAAACATTCGCCGCGTCTCGTTGATGCGGACGGCGCACGACTGCCTTGGGGACCTAGGGAGCTTCTAACATAGTTGACTCCAGTGTAGCCGAACTCTGAAGATGAACCAAGTAGCGCCCTAGAGCTCGACTGATATGAATGCGACGATTCTGTTTGAGGCAGCAGAACTGATCCCATATTGAATATCTTGTCACTGGAATCACGACATTTGCGCCTATGATAATACAAAGCAATGACCTGCAAACTGCAGCCGCCGGACAGAATGATATTAGCAGTTTGTCAGATCGTCATATATTGAGCGCTGCTGTCCTTTTATTGGAATGAGCTATAAGCTAATTCCGCATTCGGGAAATGGCACACAAAACGGCGGATGCGAAAGCGTTCAGATATGCGGCAACTAATTCCTAACGAGTAGGCCCACAACGCATGCAACAGCGGTCGTATTGCTGTTGTGAGTGTTTTTCTGCGCTAGCAACAAGGGTCTTTGCCACTAATTGTTCATAATGAGGGCTTAAGGGGACGCCGCGGAGGTAGATGGCAATCGCATCGGTGTTCCCGCCAAAGACAGTATAGAGCAAAGTTTAGATTATACAAAAAGGAAAGAAAACGGAAAAGTATTACAGAGTTGTTGAAGTGGCTCGAGCAAGGAAGGAAAAAGCAAACGAAGATCAGGGGTAGCACCAGGTTACCAAGAGAAGATCTGATATGGGCCGAATAATGGGAATGGATCACACAAGATGGATAGAAAGGTAAAAAAGGTGACGGTAATAGTAAGGGTATGTTTTAGAGATTCAAGCAGTCAGAGAAAAAAAGAGACTGGAGTTGGAGGGAGAAGGAAGGAAGCACAGAGCCCCAAAGGCCTGTGACATTGGATCTCAGACTGAGAGGATGGAGTAAGCATCGCGATAAACCCAGAAGACTAGTGGCCGTAACTACCTAGAACGAACCCCCTGGACGACCCACGCTCCCAGGCTTAGTCCAAAGTACTACTGGATACCTTTTGTCATGGATTAATCTGGTCCATGGCAATATATTGTGCAAGAGAGAAAGATACTATGAATAAAATCGATCTAAATAACTTCAGTGACCGGTATTCGTATGAAACTACCGCTTTTTCCTGATCCTGATGCCAAACATGTACCTACTATACTCCGTAGATTTGGGGTAAATGATGGGATAATTGCAGGTGAATGTTTCGCTTATGCAGCTAGACTTGAAACAAGCCTCGAAAAGCATTTAAATAACCAATCAGCATTAAGGAAGCTTCCAACTCTTTTGGACGGCATCTCCCTTTCTAGCCTACTAGTACGGAGTAGTACTTAATAGTAGCCCGACTTGTATTCCATACCTCAGTTTAGTACAATTTTAAAACTACTAAGCCACAGTCGCGCGTCATAATCCACTATGGTTCTTAAAAGAAAACCGAAAGTCGAAACACTCTCTGCGCAAATCAAACAACTAAAGAAAGAATATCAAGATATTTATTATGATATAGTAAATTCGATACTTTAGTGGGCTGCTCGTTCGACTTTCATGCTTGTTAAATCTTACACTCCACGACACGATTAAAGGAACGAAATCTGGTACACAGCCACTACTCTAATCCTTCAATCCATGCTCATTACTAGATCCCTGAGTAGTTGTTTGGAATCGTCTGCTCGACAATTCGTTCTCACATGTGTGATACATATCATATAACTCGTGTTCTTGTTGCTGCAATGCACATCTTTGCTGCAACACTTCGAGTAGGCCGTATTTAGTCGAGTTAAGCGACCTTCATGGTACCGCACAAGACATTGAGTCTGACATTGATCTCTGTCGAAAAATGAAATCTGGAACGTGCTGGACATTACGTTGATGCATAATAACCTGGAATCCGTGTATCCTCATTTGCCAAGTTCTCCCAGCATCAGGGTTCGATCAGATGAGCCAGAAACAACTATAAGAAAAATTAGAATAGCAGACATCTAATACTATGGAGGAAGACTTACTGATGGGTTCGCCGTTCGGCGAGAATCGTACATCATTGACTGTACCCTTATGCCCGGGAAGCTTGTATAGAAGCTTTCCGGTTTTGAAATCCCAGACGACTACGCTCCTGTCACCACTCCCCGCAGCAATCCTTTCACCCTTCGGGTCCCAGCTTGCTCGAACGAGGTTCTTCTCTAGTCCGACAGGAGCGCCGTCATACGTCTTGATAAGTCGATTTGTTGGCGCAAAAGGTCGGATATCCCATGCGCGTACAGTCGAATCATGAGAATTGGAGAGAAGAGTCTGCGAGTCTGGCGAAATTTCCAATGAGGTGATAGTATCCATGTGCCCCGTCATGGAATAAGTGATAGATTTTTTCCGCAGGTCCCATACATGAATCGCGTTATCAATGCCGCCACTGTAAATTTCGTTACCTGCTTCCGACAAGGCCACTGCTGTAATGGGCAGTTCCGTTTCCAGATATTCGATAGCCTCCTTTTGTCGGGGATCCCAGATTCCCACACAACCATCATCACTGCCACTAACCAACAATTCCTGGCCCCTCTTGCTAATATCTAGACAGTTCACTATTTCCTCGTGACCCATATGGCGACGTATTCTTTGCCCAGTTTCCAGATCCCAGCTTGCCAGCGTCATATCGGCTGACGCAGAGAAGATCGTTCTTGAGTCGCGAGACCATTGTAGATCAAGGACCGCTCCTCGGTGGCCTGACAAAACACCATAATTTTCACATTGTCCATAGGTATTCCAAAGCACTATAATTCGAGTGGATAATTAGTCGTCATGCGATTGCTTGGCATCAACTAATAGGCGCGACGTACAAATAGACCTATCCATTGAACCGGATGCAATATGCTGTGCGGTAGGGTCGAACCGGACAGTAAAGATTTCACCAGAATGACCTATATTTTAAGTAAACATATAGAACCACCTATATAATGCGATTTTCGTTACCTGTTAGCTCCATAATCGGCGCCTCAAGCCCACTGGTGCGAGGAACCTGCCAGCACGGTCAATAAGGAATCCTCGATACGACTCTGCAAGGTCATTATGAAGAAACGCATACCGCTTGCACAAGTGTTCCATTCTGCGACGAGCTTTTAACCACGGCAGTGCCATTATCCAAGCCAGCGTCGGACTTTTTTCGTTTCACAACGAGCTGACTAGATGACCCAAAAGCTTCTTGGGCAGGTCGTTTTTCTCCAGACATGTTACTGAGACGATCTGGGGATTGCTGGCCCAGCGACGATTTACAGAAACTTGTAATGAGAAAAGGCTCTGGACTGTACAGGACAAGTTGTGGATAGATAGCAATTGACTGCTAGAAAACTGGTATTAGGGGAGCCTCGTCAGGATCGGAGTACGCTCATCTTTTCCGCCCGCCAGTAGTTCTACGCAAGCGCTGAACACCCAACAGGTTAGCCGCGATAGGCGCCGGTCCACTATGCGCTCCGCCCATACCCCGTCGATCCACCGACTCGGGCGGGGAGGAATACTGCGTATCCATCAACAACATTTTGATAGCTGCTGGGCATGCCTGTTGCCGTATTACGTCTTCTTTCAAACTGTGTATTAGTTCTTCGAGAATCTACATAACTGAAGTTGTAAACGAGAATGTCTACCACAAAAGCCTCGAGGATCGGTGAAGAGTAAGTTGTTTGTTGATGATATTGATTCGTGATGTTCTCATTAACAGCATACGGTGTAGGCTATGGAAGTCAGTAAGCTGAGTGATGTTTCCAACCTGTCGAATGTTATACTGGATTGCATCCAGCAAAACAAGCGCGAAGTCGTTTGCGACTAACCTGATACAACATTTTTAGAACGAGGGTTGACAAAGTCAATGCGGAGTTAGTCACATTGACTTATGGTACAATTGTTGCACAATTATGTCAGGACTATGACTCAAACTACCAGGAAGTGAACAAACAATTAGACAAGATGGGCTACAATATTGGTATGCGACTTATCGAAGACTTTCTGGCAAAGTCGGGCGTCGGCCGATGTTCCAACTTCCGGGAAACAGCAGACATGATCGCAAAAGTACGATCTAAATCTATCATATACCAAACATCTACCCCCAGACCATGTGACTGACAGATGCTTGAATAGGTCGGGTTCAAGATCTTTCTTAACATCTCGCCTACCGTAACGAATTGGACCAGCGATAATAATCAGTTCTCTCTTGTCTTCGACGAAAATCCGCTAGCCGACTTTGTCGAGTTGCCAGATGATGGAAGGGCGCAGGATGAGCTGTGGTTTTCTAATATTCTGTGTGGTGTCCTGCGAGGTGCTTTGGAGATGGTAAGTAAACCAAGCTGCAAAATTTTCTGCATCGTTGGTCTACACTCCACCAGGGCTCACATATTCTGGTGTATCTTTCTAGGTTCAAATGCAGGTCGAAGCGCATTTCGTTAGCGATGTGTTGCGGGGTGATGATACTACAGAAATGCGGGTATCTCTGGTTAGATATATTGAAGATGAAATGCCACCGGAGGAGGAGTAACAAGCATATGGAAAACAAGAATGCTGTAGAGGGTTGTGGCGTACGGTGTTTGGGATTCGATGGCCTCTGTTCTTAACTAAATTATAGCTTTTCTTGTCATTAGTAGGTATCTGCAACCTATTTGTACAAGACGTTGACTTTGATGATTAGCCCTACAATGTTGGTGTGTTGGCTATATTCTAGTACAAGGATAGACCAACCATCAAAGTTGGCGTTTCGGTAGAACGATAGAACATAGGGGCATGGAATGAGCCATGATCACACACCTTGTTTTTGTCGCTCTTGTGAATAAGGTACTAATAGTATGATTTATGATGTGAGGGTTACAGATCACATTTGGCTAGCCCGCATAATAATCCGTGTTTTCAGGGGCCGTTATGAACATAAATTCGCTGATTCAATGATAGATGATATAGTCAAGGAGTTTTCAAAAATAAAGGACTGTATACAGCATTCCGAAGGAGGATCCAACCGACCGAGTCGGGAAAAAAAGGAAATGGGGGTTTTAAACCAATTATCGTCTCATCTTACAAGCAACAAATGCAAGAATGGCATGGTAAGAGCCAGTGTTGGTCTGCCACATCATGTTTAACAGTAAGGTTTCAAGGCTGTAATCAATTTCAGAGACATGTAAATCAGGGGGTTGACCAGTCTATTAGGACAACAAGCGTGTCACAAATTGGTAAGCGTTAGATTGTTGAATGAAGGCCATTGCCATTATGAAACATGGAGATTAACTAGGATCTCCATACAAAGTTAATAATATCCAGAACTAAATGATCGCCCTTATCGAACTTTATGCTAAGTCATCAAGTTATAGTGGCCTCTTTATATTTACAGAGAAATCAACAGAAAGCAGACATATGCAATATCCGGAGGCATACAGACCAATGCAAATCGGATGCTGACACGGTCTGGTTGACCTATATTACCACACCCCCAAACTACTAGTACACTGATCTGATTCTCTTGTAGTCTGGGGGATGAGCAGATCTGCAGAGGAAATTCTAGTCTGCTGGGTCTAGACACGTGACTGTGATGTAAAGTACGCTAGCCCGCCGACCCTGAGTTGTTCTCAATCCATGTACTCCGTATGTATGTATGTATGTATGTATCTATCAGTATCTTCAATGTTTCGATCTCTACACGTCGAAACCGGCGGTTCTTCGTTCTAGTAATTGTTTTTGTCCCCTCTATCACCTCAAACCAATGGCTCTGGGGAATGCATTCAGGTAGTTATCGGCCTTTTTTTTTTTTTTTTTTTTTTTTTTTTTTTTTTTTTTTTTTTTTTTTTTTTTTTTTTTTCCCACGTAATTTCTCAATTGTGTCTATCCCTTCGCTGTGGAATATTGTAACCCACGACTCGTCTCTATACTCTCCGAATTACACCACCTCAGATCGGGTCAACAATTCTGCGCCTGCTCTTCAAATCAATACCAAGATACTCTTTATCTACTTTGCCTCTCATATTTATTTCCTTTTCTCTCTCTATCTTTCCCTCTTTCTTTTCTCTGTTTTTTAACGCGATAATATTTTAAAGTCCTGTACACTTCACATTCCTGCAGATTTGCAAAGAATTTTTTTACTAGAGTCATTGCTTTGATTTTCATTCCCTATACCTTTTCATTTATCCTTAGGCTTCCCTCTGCATAGTGGTAAGTATGTAATTTTCCTTTGCCCTTTCTATCAACTTTTTTTTTTGCCGCCTCCATAAAGTAGAATTGCATGCTCAGAAATACGCGAGACAATAGCATCTCCCAGCCCTCCCGCCGTGTTCCGGGATAGATAATCCGCGCCGAACAAGCGATTCACGCCCAGTCCGCAGTGATTGAACAGCCCAGCACTCCAGGCACCGCGCCTGATATCCACGTCCTCCCACCCACCAGAACACCTCAGATCCACCGCTACACCTTGTCCTGACCTTTGCCTCTCATCCCTCCCACCCCCCCTCCACCATTACTTCCTCTAATCTGACCGGATCTGTCCGTGTCTCCTCTTTCCTTTTTCTGCAGGGGGATTTGAGATCTTTAATTTTTCATCGTCTGGTATTCTTTGTTTCTTTCCTCTTAGTCTGGCTGGTCGGACTTGGACTGGCTTGTCCTCTCCTAAACGCCGTTCCCGTCTTTCTGCTTGTCGCCGCCCACACCCCCCGGTTGATCCTACCGCGCATTTTTCTCTCGGCTGGATATCTTGACCGACCATATACTTCCTCGTTAATATCTTCATGACCATTCATTACGCTCTTCATATTCTACAATCAGCGTGCTCTATTGCTTCTACCCGCGCGTGGAAGTAACGGCAGATTCTTCCTGCTTGCCTTTGCTCCTGAGCCAGCCACGCTTATTTTCCCTTGTGAGTATTCTTCGCAATACTTGTTCTGTGTTGTCATTCAATAAGTGGAACCATACTCAACGCTTGTCAATTCAGAAAGTTGCTTGGGCGCGCCCTTACCCAAATTTGACCCTAAAGCCGCTTTTTTGTCCATTGCGCATCGGCATTTAATTACAAACTCGTCACTCACCTGGTTGGAAGCATCGGTCATATCGTCTGATTGTCTTCCCTTTTTCTTTCCCCCGTCTTGATCGCCACGCGCCCCTCGCCTTATCTTGTGGTGAGCTTCCTCGCCGCGAGACGGTGGATGCGCGTTAAACCAATCTATCGCCGACGCCCTTGATCGACGACAAGAAATAGGTGAGGGTGGCTGAGCCCCTTGGAGTGCCACTATGAGTCAGATGAATGTAGCTGGGATGAACCCCGGGGCCGGGGGCCCCGTGGGAGGGGTCCCCATGATCAATAATGGTTCGACGGCTCCTCGTAACGATGGAAATTTGAACAATATCCCCGAGTTGATGATTAACAACCTCAATACATATATCTATGATTATCTGTTGAAGCGCGGCCATCACGAGTGTGCTAGGGCCTTTGTGAAGGACGAGTCGATCAAAATGAGCACCGAGCCGCCTATAAAGTCAAGCCCAGGTCACCGTCGCGATGGTGAGGTGAATGGTGTCGATGGTGATGCGATGATGACAGATAGCAAGGACGGTGACAAAATGAAAATACCTGATGACTTGCCACGGCCAAATCTCCCTAGCGAAGGCCAGCAATCGTCTTTTCTCTTGGATTGGTTCAGCCTCTTTTGGGATTTTTTCTGGGCCCAGCGCAAGAGAGGGAACAGCAATGATGTGAGACAGTACCTTCAACATACTCAGGTACAGACCCTTGCACTGTTTGACGAAGGTCTGAGTTTCTTCTAATATGTATAGAATATGTTGCGCTTCCGAGAACAACAGCACAATCAACTACTACGACAACAGCCAATGATGCCCGCCCAGATGCAACAGCTCAATCTTCGCAGAAATGGATCTGTTGCGCCCAACCTTCAGAAGACTGTTTTACAAAACAATACTTCAGGCCTGTACGCTTTCCTTGGAATCCAATGCTCGTTCCTAACAATAGCAAGTGACGTAGTGCTAATTTAATTCAATAGCTCCCAACAACAGCTTGCCCAGCTCCATAAAACGCAGCAAGTGCAGATGATCCAACAGATGCAGAGAGAACACTCGGATATGGACATGAACGGCCATCGCCCTCAGTCCCCGTCTTCCGCAGAAAACGCCCCGTCGCCATCGAAACGGCCCCGCCTCGAAGGTGGACACATGAACGGACAGCAACTAGCTCCCAACGGACGGGGTCAAGGGCAGGGCATGCCCGGTCAGCCGAATCCGCAAGCGCTTTTAATGCAAAACGGTCTCAATCCGCGGCCGATGAATCCGGCCCAATTCCAGGCTTTCCAGCAGTCGGGCCCTGCTGCGCAGCAGAAGTCAATCCAGGTATATGCTCAAAATTTAGCTCTTCACCACTCTCGCTCAGCAATGAATAACCAGGGCATGCCGAATGGTGGTTTGATAAATCCCGGTGTCATGCCAAACCAGACGGATCTGGTGCCATTGCCAGATGGCCAGGGTATGTACCCGATGAACGGCGATTACTATCCACCAAATGGTCAGATGGCCCAGGTTCGGGCTGGAATGCAGACACCTGGCGGTCAGCATGGGAATCATGCTCTCCAGGATTATCAAATACAGCTTATGTTGCTTGAACAACAGAATAAGCGGCGCTTGATGATGGCTCGTCAAGAGCAGGATAGCATGGCCCGTCCTGACGGCCAGCCCCCAATGCCAGGGCAGCAGGCTTTGCCACCAGGCACCTCTCCCCAAGGCAGCAGGGCGGGCACGTCCCCCAACCCGAACGACCAGATGAAACGAGGCACACCGAAGATGCCTCAGACCGGACTCCCTGGTTCCCCCAGCGGCGGTGACGCAATGGCCCAGGGTCGTGGATCGCCTGCGTCAATGAATTTCAACGGTGGCCAGATGCCACCTGAGATGGGCGGCGCGTTCTTCATGAAAGGCATGCAAGATGGCATGGCAGGTCCCAATGGCATGCGGCCTCCGAGCTCGAATCCCGCTTTCAGTGGCCCTCAAATGGGTCAGCCGATCCCTGCGGGCACTGGAAACCGGGTGCCGAGCGGAGGCTGGCCACCACAGCAAGGTAGTCAGGGCCAACCGATGGCGCCGCAACAGTCCCCCGCGACCCAAACTACCGGAACGCCTCAAGAGCGCAACGCAATGCCTCCCCCTCAGGCTCCCCCCGCTGCGGGTGCTAATACCGGTCGAACGCAGCCTCCGTCCCCTCAAACAGCACCCGCTCCACCTACGCCACAACAAGCCAATAAGCCCGCCCCGAAGAAAAAAGAGACCAAAGATAACCGGAAGGTAAGAGATACTTGGATTCTTCTTTCATGTTGGAGTTTTTTGCGCTGTGTCTAAACATGTTTCTAGCGGACTTCAAAGAAGGCGACCACTGCCGCAGCAGCCGCAAACACTGCGGCCACTCCCTCCTCCGAAGCCGAGCATCCTCCGACTCCTACGCCATCGACACCAATTACGCCCCAACACCCCAATTCGTTCAACAAGGCCGGCGCAAATGCCACGTCGAGTGCTCCACAGCAGCCAACGTCTGCACCTGCACCTCAACCGCTCGTACAACCACCGCCGCCACCACCACCGGATCAAAGTCAACAGCCATTTAATGACCTGAGTATCCCAGATGTATGTTGTTATTAAGGCTTTAATTTCTTAACGTCTCACTAATCGAGCATATAGGCCTCTGCCTTCAATCTTGATTTCAGCGCTCTGGAAAACCCGGATATCTTGGAGAATTTTGACTTCGACACGTTTCTCAATACGGATGCGGATACGGCCGGGTTTGGGTTCGATCCGAACATATCATACCCGACAGATGGGGTTGAGACCGGTGCCGGAGATGGCTTGTAAAGGAGTCCAACGGATATTTCGTTCTTATCTCTCATATACCCTTCCTTGCTCTGTACATTCCTAAATTTTGGCTTGTGCTATTCGGTTTTTGTTCAATTCCCCTCTTTCTCATATGCTTCAACTTTTCTCTTTAGTGTCTCTGTCGACATGACTTGGATATGTGCCGTGAGATTGGCGTTAAGTGTATCCGTTATTGCATGTCTTTCATTTTTTAACCGAGTCGCGATTGACCTTGAGATGGATTCCACTTGTATTCAAGCTGCGTTATTGTGACATCTGTGCCATTCGATTCTTTTTCTTTTATTACTACTATATCTATTATTTGGTTAATCTTTGTCTTTAAGCTCCCAGGGCCGACGTCGAGTGATCTTGCTCTAGTGTTAATTGTGCTCTTATAATGCTCAAAGCTCAACAGGCATATCAACTTTCCAAAGCCCTTCCACCCCTTTCATTTACCCTATTTCCTTTGTCTTGTGATTATGGCGTTATCGTTAAGGTCCTCCTTTGTTGTCTAAGTCATCAGTGACTCCTCTCCGGGGTATGGGTTTATGAATTGAGAAAAGATACTTAACGCCTTCGAATATTCCATCGGTATGTCGTCTACCGCTATCTTATTCCGATCCCTCTTCCTTGCTTTAGGGTCGGGGAAAAGAAGAAAACAAGGCAAAATCCAGCATGAGATGGTCCAGAATGTACTGCTGCCGCTGGTACTGGTTATGAAAGATAGAGAGACTGAGATTTTCTTTTCTGTTCTGGATATTATTTTATGCACTTTTAGCAAGTTTGATAACTGACTTTCTTCTCTCCAAACAAAGTAAAAGTTTGAGCTGTACTCGGTACATAGGTTCATTGTGCTCGTGGCGCCCATTATAAGATTGATTGATCCTTTGAAACCTCCTTTCTCTTTAACAAGTTTGGGTGTAAGCAGAACAGGTCACTCATTTGAAATACACAAACTCGGAGGCAAAATAGTTGTTCCCAGGTTACCGTCAGTTTTTTCATTAGACCAATCCACCAATATGTAGATAACTGTCCATACCGTGTTCGGACCTGGTCATGTCAATTGTATCAAAGCTCCAACCGGAGCAAGCCTGCAATTAGCTACAGAAATTTTGTCAGAGCTCCGGGCCCTTGTTCGCTATTTCCGCCGCTTATGGGGCCTGTCTACCTCATGGCTCAGTGTTGCATCCACCGGCCACTTCGTAGGGCCCCGCGAGTCTTCTGCTTGATATGTGCGATGTGAGGCATCTCGAAGAGGTATGATCGTAGCCACTATCAGATACTAGCACTAGCCAGGTGTAGAAAGTCGTATGGGCAGCTGCAGTATTTGAGTCGGATTCGCTTCTGTGACCATGCTCCTGGGACCCAAGGTAGCTAACCCTGGAGCTTGACTTAATTTAAGTAATCTATACCTTGCACTTATCATGCATACTCTGGTTAGACATTCCGCTACACAAACGTATCTACATATGACTTGTTAGCTACCTCAAGAATTGCACCTTACACCTGTTTCTCACCCCGTAAGATCTCTAGCCAATATAATTCTTGAATTCCTCTACCAAGTCCAATCTCCTAACGAATATTGATTGAATCAACATATTACTCAGGCGCGGGCAGTGCAGAAACTATTTTACAGAGAATGTAGCGCCCTGAAGGGTGTTCTGTGCGTAGCTAGTGGAATAATCATCTGTGAGTGAGTGAGTGAGCTAAAACCTGCGAGGATATTCTTAGAAGACAAGCAAAGTAGCAGCAAACGACAGAGAGAAAGACAGAAATAAGAAAAAGAAAGGAAAGAAGAAGAGAAGAAACATCAACTCTGGGGGGCGCGCTCATAGAAGTTTTGATGAAAGCTCAAGTATAGAAATTAGTCAATCTCAGCCACCTCGACTACAGAACCTGCACGGTGGCTTCCTGGTCCAAGAAGTTCTTCGAGGCCAACCCGTCGGAGAAGGTCATCTGTTTCAGACAACTCTTGTGCTGGAGAAAGCAGAATTGGCTCTCCTTTGGAAAAACTGAGACTTTCCCTGCGAGCAGAACCTGTGGACCGTCTTCTTCTACATCCAGTCGGAGTCTCTAGGTTCCCACTGGTACGCACGGCTGTCTTGGACCCAGTATGGTGGACCTTGTCACTTTCCCTTCGCGGAGTTTCCACTATGATCTCGTTTTCCTTCTTATCCGACACCATCCCCTCCTTCCTGCCTTTAATCTGGACATTTAGGCCGACAGGGAGCTTGCTCGTTGCTGCGGTATCAGTAGCAGGCTCAGTAGACAGGTTGGATTTAGCACTGGCTTCCGAGACGTCTCTAGTACCTAGATGCGATTTATCCTTTGGAAGCGATCCTCTGTTCCCGTTGTTAATAATATAGGATGCTGACCGCGCTTCAGCTGCAACAGAGAGCTTCCGACTTATAGGTAATGTGGCGGAAGGCGTGTTTGTGGGCGCTTTTGTACCGCAGGACAGGGGCTTTGGAGGACTTAGGACTTCAAAAAGTTGGTTATAGGACTCGTCAATAGGGGAAATTATGCTTGGGTGTTTGCTATGCTCGTAGCTAATGCCAGTCATGTGTGAGATAGCTCGACTACTGGTTGAACTTGAAACATAATCGGGCATAGATACATCCTCCGAAGAGGGTCTTGCACCTCGATGGCGTGCGGAAGGATCAAGCACATAAGGGTCGATGAAAGGATCCGGCATAAGTTGTTCCTGTTGGGGCCATCGTGATTCTCGGAGACTGCCTTGCAGTTGGGGAATAGGCCCTTGATAGTTTCGGTATGTCCAAGCGCCGTGTGCTGCTGGGTTGCTGATTTGGCTGCTTGTGGTCGCTAACTGTCGAATACCATGTCGGGTGGGCGAGTGGGCATGCGTGTCCTCTGGCTCTTTCAAGTCACTAAGCTCACCTCTAGAGTTGTATTTGAATAGACGAGGTTCTCGGCTCCACATGGAGGCATTAGGCCAAGCAATACTGGAATACTCCAATACCTCTGTGACTTGTTAGATACGTTTGCCCAACTTGGAAGAAACTAAAGGGTGCAGAGGGTCATGGGCAACTCACGCAAAGGTGCATGTTGAAAAGCAAAAGCAACCACTTCTTTAACACGCTCAAAAGGTGGGTTGCGATGTGGCCGAGCAAAGCCTTCAGAGATCACTATCCTAATTCTACCATAAAGCTCACCAGCGTCCCAGTGCTGTTGCTCTAAAATCTCCTGGTGAAATGGCGGGAAACGCAGGTTATCCTGATTTCCGCTCTTGTCGATATCTATCGAAATATTGTTTCAGCAGTTGTAACCTTCACACAGGGTATTCAGGGGAACAGCATACTTGAACTTAGATCTAGATCAATTTCATTGATCAGAAAAACTAGCTCACAGGAGGCGGTGGATTTGCTTCGCAGGCTTGGTCTACTTACCAACGACATGGGGCCAATTAGTCCTCTGGCCAAAGACACTACCACTATGCAAGTTGACTCATTTTATTAGCTTCCATTCAATGACTGTTTGCTACCAAGCCTGTAACTCACGAGACAAAAAGACCATCAATGAAAATCCGGACTTCAAAAAGCAAGGCATCATCGGGTTGCAGCAGGCTCTCCATCAGCCGACTAGGCCGAGGCCTCTCCCAGCTATGAACCGACACCCGAAACGGAGTATTCGGCGATACACTTGGGATGAAAGTTGTGAGCACAGGTAGCAGACCCATGTTTCCTTGAGGGAGGCAATACGGCGCCGGATTGACGAGAACAGGACTGTGCAGATAAGGGGATCCTGCCCGCCGAAGATTATTAGTATGTAGTCTGTATAGCTCATTGATATTGTACGTACCTCTATCTTTGATCACAAAGCATTGTGTCTTGAACTCTTGGATTGGCACTTTGGAATTCTCAGGGAAGAGAAGCACATCCCAACTCTCGTAACGCATCCTGTGTCACATACAATGTTTCCTTTGCCGTGTGATAAAATGAGGAACAAAGGATCTTGAGATGTTAGTAGAGAATATCAGAAGTAAGGAAACCGCATTGAATAAATTGGGGGCTAACGAGCAAGTGAGGGAGTAGTCAAGCCTGTTGAAGAGACGATTGATGGGTGAAGTGGGAAACGATGTCAAGCCCGATATCAACGTCCCAAGGCTCCTTCCATATTTGGCGCTGTATAAGGCATGTCTGGGTGAGACAGAGGTGGGCAGGAACGAGTGAAGGGACGTTAATCAATTGAACATGGAGAATTACTGGCGGGTTTCTCAAGATGTTGTTTTACGCTCGATCACAATCACCTCAAGACTGAACGAAATTAGACAGACTAAATTGTGCATAGGTCGATTATAAAGTGAGATTAGGAACAAAAGCCCCGTTCAGTTGGGTAGCCTGGCCATCTAGTAACATATACACGATCGAGGCCCATGGGCTTGCGATTATTCGACTCCAAGCGTGGTCAGCATCGCAGGGAAGGGCATGAATTAACATATAGATGCGACAGCTCACTGCGTAGCGAAAGGGGGAATCATCCGTAAAGAGACTGAAATACAAATTGGCCAGATGCACCTGGGACGCGCCAAGGAGAGAGAACAAAGAAAACGCGAATTTACGTAGGATGGATCATAAATACGAGAACGCCCAGATCATAGTCACGATGTCACAGATTGCCACCAACGTCCGAGAAAACATGCAGCGTAGCCTTCAACTGAAGATCCACCAGGGCAGGTAGAACAGCCGTCAGCCTTGTTCCAGCTCCAGTAGCTACAATAACGAAGATTCAGAAAAGAGAGAGGACCCAACCCCAGATGATGACACTCCAGATGCAGCAGCGAGAGCAGGCGAACAGACGAGCCAGAGAATAGGTCGCCTTAACCACAAAAGACAGACACTGAACGAGCGAGAACGCATTGGACTCCATAAAGTGAACTGCACTTAGGAAAGAAGATGTTGAAGGGTAACAGTGTTGTACAGACCGCCATTCTAGCAGAAAGCAAGACGCAACATCCTCATAGGGAAACATAATTCAATTTGACTGCTTCATGAGAAAAGGCTCGAGAATAGGAACTTTTCGCAGAATGCCTGCCCAAGGATATAAGGGGAAAGACACGCACCAACGAATCGATCAGGTGTCATACGCATAAGGAGGGCCTAGGACCACAAACGTAATAGAAAGGCAAAGGGGGCATTTGGAAAAGGAGAACGTAAAACGAATTCGGAAGGGGTTTGTTGAACAAGGCATCAAGAAGAAAAAAATAGCAGGATAGTTTGTGAAATAAGAGCTCAAATCTTGCTAACAAAAAAGTGGAAAGGAAATGAAAAAGCGCTCAGATGTAATGAAATACGTAGCACAGGAGAAAATGCCCATCCAGAGCTATAGAAGGGAGCTTTCGCAGAGATAGATAGCAGACTTGTTATAACACAAAAGACCCATCATTGAAATGACGCAAAACTCCTGCTGTGGCTTTCAAAAAAAGGAACGCTTTTTTTTACTAGATATTTTCGTTAACAATCTAGCTTGCACTAGGTACCGCGGAGTCTCATGCAGTAGCTTCAGGGTCACCAACCTTCATAGGCGCAAAGCCGCCATACTGGTGGGCAGGGGGCATGCCCATAGAAGGGTACATGGGAGGCGGAGGAGGAGCTGGGCGGTAAGGGCTTCCGGCGGGACCGGAGTTGTTCTGAGAGCGGCCCCAGCTCAGACGCACACGCGAGTTGCCGATGGGGTAACCCTGCATCTGGTTGATGGCCATCTCAGCGGCATGGCGCTGAACGAACTGGACGAAACCACAGCCCTTTCCGGGAGGGATCTTGACATAAGTGATCTCTCCGAATCCCTGGAAGAAAGACCGAAGCTCATCCTCGGTGACATAGCCGGAAAGTCCACCAACGAAGACAGTTGTGTTGTTGGGGTCAGTGAACTGGTTCATGGGCTGAGGAGCACCGTAGAAGCCCATGGGAGGAGCACCCATGGGAGGGTACATTCCCGCGGGACCGGGCATGCCCATACCGCCGGGAACGACACCAGGACCCTTGTTCTTGGGAGTAGCGGTGGAGATACGCATAGGACGGTTGCCGCAGTAGACTCCCTGCATCTCACTCAGAGCACGCTGCTGGTCATTCTCATCGGAGAAACGAACGAAGCCGTAGCCACGAGACATGCCGCTAATCGGGTCGGTCATAATCTTGGCGGACTTGCAAGATGGGAAGCGGCTCTGGAAGAGGGACACGAGTACATACTCGTTGACCTCAGGGCCCAAATCACCAACAAAGATGGAGTACTCGGGGCCACGGTCATCACGGCTGGAAACAGCGGTTGTCAGTTCATGTTGGGTACTTTTGAAATCGTTTTTGAGCTTCTTACCTGCGGTCAGCGAGGCCACCACCAGTGGCCCAGTTCAGCTTGAAGAGGCGGTTGGTGTTAGGCATAGGAGTGCCGTTCAACGACAGAGCCTTAGCGGCGGCAGCGGGAGAGGAGAAGTCGACGAAGCAGTAGCCGGCATTGCTCCTACTACCAACATTAGGATCACCTACAAAACATCTTCTGAGATTACTGTGTACTCACCCAGAGAACTTGTCGCGGATCATCTTAACATTGACCTGCTCGCCCATCTGGAACCAGAGGTTGCGGACGAAGTTCTCGTCGATCCAGGGCTCAAGCTCACCCATCCTGAAGTGTACTGTCAGATACATTGTTCCAAGCCAAGGAGCAAAGGCGGGGAGGGGTTGCGCTTGACAGATATCACGTACCAGAGAGTGGTCTTGCCCTCCTGAGCGGGCTGAACGGGAGCGGCCGTTGGCTCGCCAGGAGCAGGGCCCTGGAATTGGGCGGCGGTAGGGTCGGCCTGGCCGGCCATGGTATCCGCAGTAGCAGGTGCGCCGGGGGCAGCAGCGGCAGCGTCGGCCGCTGGGTGCTGGTTTTGGAACGATTCGAAGTTCTGGAATGACATATTGACGTGAATCCGAGTTCGTAACTATAACGGTATCTGTAAAAATAACCCAAGTCAATTAGATTTTTTCGACCGAGACCAAGCACTCCAGCATTTGTAACACCTCTATCTTGAATTGTGCCCCTCGGTGGACAGGAAGATTTTTGCGCATACCTCAAATTTCAGGCAAAGGAGTAGAAACCTAAACAACAAAAAAACTTTTCTATCCCGAAAACGGTCCGTGCGAGTGGAATTTCGTTGGAATCGTCAAGGAAAGAAGGGTATGATCGTTCAAGTGGAAATGACAAAAGAGTAATTCCACTTCCTAAGTCAAGTTCAAGAGCTGGTTAGCGGCCCTGTGAGGAGCGTAATTTGACCTTGAGACAAGATAGTGGAGGCTATGATAACTGAACAGGGAGAGAAGGCACGAGTGAGAAAATTTTAGAGGCGCAACCCAAGTGAATAGAGCGATGAAGCAGTTCCAGTGAAATTTCTTCAAGTGCAACAGGGAAATGAATAATATCAAAAGTGATTAGAACAAAAGGTGTGCGTTTGGTGTAGTGTCCCGGGAGGGTTTGGTTCATGGAAGTTGGAAATAAACGATGCAATTGTTTCAGCCTTGCTTGCCAAGACTATCTTCCAACGGACAAGGTAGCTTTCCAAGATGTGATGGAAGACTCGGAAGTCGTGCAGTCTAACGACAGGGCAAATGGAAGTCGGAGAACTTTAGGTCCAAGTCGAAGTAAGAGAGTAGCCATGGTCCACATATTCACTCGGTCGAAACCGCATTCGTCGATGTGATTCCAGATCCGTCGGCACCGATTGCGACCGTCCCAACCAGTTCCATCATTGAGGGTGTTCTTTCATCCGGAAAACAAACCGCGCAACAACGAAACTATATACTCGACATTCAAGCTTGGAGATACAAGATCGAGCTCGTTGGGTGTTGCACTTTAGCGACCGTCCAGACCTCGTCGGATGCTAGGCAAGGCGAAAGAGAACGATCGGTTGGCGCTTGGTCGCTAATGGTACCAAAATGACCGGTTGATGAGGCAGAACGTGATGGCAGTATATTCGAAGAGTAATGGCTTAGGCGATTATTCTTCGTCTCTTCGGTAAGTAGATACCACTCCTAGGGAAGGCGTTCCATGATCCCTGAAGCGCACCAACTCGCAAGGCAATGACGCAAGTCTCTTCCACATCGCACCAAGAACCAATCCCTCGGGGGTGAAGCTAGACGGAAAGGGAAAGGAAAAGGAAGAGAGAGAGAGAGAGAGAGAGAGAGAGAGAGAGAGAGAGAACGAATATTCAAAGGCTAGAAGAAGGGCAAGAAGATAAATTACTTACTAGGTGATATAAAACAAAGGCAACCTTGGAAAATAACTTTCACAAGAGGGAATATAAAATGCGTTGCTCTGGAATGGCGCAAGAAAAATATGCGTTAAGACGTAAAACGAACCCAGGAACTGGAGGAATCGAGACAACTCCCGCGAGGTGGAGAAGAAAAAAGTAAGAAACTAAGAGATAGAAAAGGCACAAGGAGTTCTTAACAGAACTATCCGCAAACCGACTCCGTCTTTTCCGACAAGAACAAGGAACGGGGGAAGGAAGGTGAAGAGGAATATGAAAAGGAAAAGAAGAAGAGGGGTAGACGAAGCAGCAAATATTCTTCAGAAATGGAGGGGAAGGGGAGGAGAAGAAGGGAGGGAAGGGAAAGGAAAAGAGGGAAAGGGAAGAAATGGAAGAATAATGGAAAATGGAGATGCTAGTACTAGGGCAGGACCAAAGGACGGCAGAATTACCTTAGACGAACGAACAGAAATCAAAGGTAGTCATTAAAAAAAAAATTAAAAAAGAAAACCAAATAATGTAGAACGACCACACAAGAGCCCTGAGCGAGTCACTAAACTGTGAGGAGAGAAGAAAATGAGGGGCGCAGTGCTACCAGGGTGGGTCGAAGGTTTGCCGACTGTTCAAGGGAAAAAAAAATTTTATTTTAATTTTTTAGTTTTTTTCTTTTGGGATGGAGGGCTTTTTAATTTTGTCTTGATTTTTCTTTCAGCTTGAATGACCGGCTCAACAGAAGGAATTAAACCGGGACTGGTCCTTCGTAGATCTGGATTAAAATCTTTTTCTTGGGTGACATTAGTCCTCTTTGTCCGAAGCTGGCAGTTTACTATCAAGTAAGGATGGATACTTTCGAAACTCTTCCAATGTTTGGTGAAATCATACCTAGCTTGCAGTATATTTGATTATAATCGTCATAAATTGGAGGTCTACCAGGATGGGCTCTTACCCAAGGACTAATTCATAATCAATGAATGAATGTATGGAGAAGGGAGACCTAGATCCATGATGAAATGGTCCACCCGATACAGGTACCATACCCTATGATTCATTACAATCGGAACCACTTTAAACCCAAAAGACTGCTGCATACTGCGCCTTAACTAGTATGGTAGTCCGTAGCTCACCCGACACGATCTCTTTAATTCCTCCGCATGCATCTGAACAATACAGGAAATCCTCAGGAGCCCTCTCTCATTTACGATGCATTCAGACAAGGATCGGTAGCAGATCTCGGGGAAGTATCAGGAAAGCTAAAGTTCCCTGGCTTCCCACCTCATTGGGTCCCTACTAGGTAGTAATAGCCCGACGTATGTATGTATATTTGGACATACATTGGGGTACAGATATACATTATCTTACCATTTCGTATAGACCAGTAGTAGAGGAGGAGTACTTGCCGTACCTAGGTACATAGTATGTACATACACTGTCCATGATAACATCATACTTAGGCGGACCCACGGTAACTGCAACCCATGTCCATGAAACCTGTCATAGTATACTCCGTACAAAGAGCTTTAATAATGCAAGCAAGACTCCCATCTCAATGACCCATGCGGTTTGTCTCTCTCCCCCTTTCTTTCTTCTCTTATGCAGGGAGGAGCAAGAAACAACCCAACCGTGTGGTATGCAACGATCCTCAAGGAAGCAAGGAAGCAATAATACCCACACACGCAGACGCTAAGCGGGCAGAATTCGTTCAATTAATCAAATGAAATTATAAACCTGGCTTCGCTGCACGAAATCTGCAAGGACCTGAGTGATGCACATGCAGAGGGACTCCAAACTGCTAGTGGTCGTGAGCTCTCTCTTTTCCTTTTCCTTTTTCTTTTTCTTTTTCTTTTTTTCCTTTTCTCCATTCCGTCCTTGGCCTGTGACTCGTCGAGTTCCATTCGCGTCCATGGGCCTTCGTCATAGCCGTGTGTCTCCGCTGGGGTTGTTGACCTTGCTCAGTGGGCATTCATTCGCAGATCGGTTTCCGTTCGCAGCCACACCGGTTGTCCGGGTCGTCCTCTGAGAGGCTTGAAAGAAGCTCAGAAGACAGTGACTCGAGTCTGCTTTACACAATCGTGCCAATGCCGGAAATTAGTGGTAAAGGACTAAATTCAAAATCAAAAATAATAAAAAAAATTCGATAAAAAAGCCAACAAACCGAAAAAAAGATAGCCTGATTTAAGGAAAGAAAGGGAAAAAATCCATCGACCCCACCAATGCTTCCGAAACCATGGGATCGTGGAGCTCTGGACAATAACGGCCGAAAAGCAGTACAGGACTACGAAGGACGAGCTGCTAAGAGCCAACCCAAGATTATGCTATCATGCAACGTGTTAGAGTCATTTTGGCCACACGCTAAAAACTAGGGCAACTTTGCCTTGAAAGCTGTTTCTATTGTTACTTATAGCGGAGATGGTCCAAGCTGTCCATGACTCCATAATCACAATCCACAGACTAGGCACCACAAGGGCTGATTCAAAAAAAGGCCTGAAGATCACAAAACAACAATTTCCCCCAGTATTGACTATACAATACAAAAAGTGCATCCGTGTCTCTCTCAATCTTTTTTACCCCCCTCTTTTTCTTATTTGCCTGGTATGAGAAATCACCCATCCCAAACCAAGACTAAAAAAAGCCCACCGACAATCTGAACCATGGAATCTATGGCATTGCCAATCCTATTGGATGGAGCAGTTGAACCGGCGTGGTTCGTAATTTTTAACATTAGCCAACAACTATCAGGGAATCTCAGCCTAGAAGCCCTAGACAAGTCCAGTTGGGTAAGGTACCTTACTCCATTCGTATCTACAATGGAAATAATGCATCTCATTGATCTAATTCAATTCGATGGGGGCGGGATTCTCCACGAGATGGCAGAGATTTTCTCTCAGCCTCGTGAGGTGGAATTTCTTTTTTTTTTTTTTTCTTTCTTCATTGGATTTTGATCCATTTCATTTCACTTTTCTAAATTAGGATTTAGCTTGTTCAAACGGTTGAGACTGGTTATGACGGCAAGAGGTAGGGTACCTAAAGCTAAACCCACTGCCTGACTGGACAGTACCTGCCCTGATCTTCAAGGTATGTACGCGTACGCGACGCGATTAACTAACCTATCAAGTTTGATACATGTGCCTTGCTTGAGTAATTTCAGAGGGAAGAAAAAATAACAAGACGAATAAAAAGTAAGCCCTTTATGTTCAGAGGTCTCAGTGTAAATACCTTACACTACAACTTCTACTTACTGCATATACTAGTACCTATGTATGTACTGTATATATGTATCGATGCATGCCGTCATTGTTGGTTTCGGCACGGGAGTATCAGAACTGTCTCGGGATAACACGAAACCCAAAACAAAAGAGAAACACCTCTGGCATGAGTAAGGGATAAAGATTAGGTACCCTGGGTCCCTCGAGGTGTATCGTAAGATGAATGAACTCATACAAGAGGTATCGTTCCCTTGCGTTCAGAACATCCGACTGAACCTTCGTCATGGTATGTGGAGAGACAAGATGTAGGTACAGAATTACATATACGATGATCCGTCCCTACCGAATGGATATTGGTCGATTGTCAGTCCCTTGCAGGAGACCATTAACCCCCATGCATTAGTAGGTAACCCTCCATCTTTGTTCTGAGTGTGTCTGGTTTAAAGTTCAGATACAGTGGAAAAAACCAAACCGATTGATGATGGTGGTGATGATGTATACTCGCATATACATTAGCCCCGAGTATATCATGCCAAGATACATTACAATTTGAAAATACTTCCTCCGCATAGACAAGCCTTGTTGTGAATCGATAGTTGGCTTCTTTTCCATTGAGCAATAAACGCGAACAACCACGCATGTATAAGATTGGGGAATCTTTGGAACCATGGGTCGGGTGATGCCCAACATACCCAACAAGCGAAGTTGTCTGACACCCATGAAACACAGTGAGAACGAGTGTCCGCTTCGGGGTTCCATAAAACCTCCTTCCTAACCCGCAGAGTAGCCCAGGGAAGACTTGATTTGGGAGGAAAATCATAACTAAAAGAAGGGTTCAGTCGAATGCATTAAACCCATTTATGCAACCCGCATTACTCTTACAACACCGAGATATACTACTTATCAAGACAGCCATGTGCTACACACGACCAAGGTTGCCCATGATCCACTAACTAACAGTAAGCACTAGCCCTGCTAGTGGCTTAGCTTGAGCAACTGCGGATTTTGGAAATGCGCTAAACAATTTGGTTTGGTTCGTGTAGATGGTCTAGAATAAACTCCGATTATGGTACGCGCCAGAAGCCAAGAGTATAATACGTACCCTAGACTCAATGTTGCAACAAAGACGATCGGGTGAAATATAAGAACATAATGAAAGCCAGGCTGTAAGGTATGCCGAGTTCGGTCTGACCTATCTACGTGATCAAAGAATGAGAAACTATATCTGGTCCACTCAAGGCAAAGGAAACATTGCTCTGGTAATGTAATACCGGCACCCATTGATATCTACCTAGGAGTCTTGCCAACTTACAGAGTCAAGTCCTTCTGGCCGACAAGACCAAAATGGTTATAGTAGTGACCCCTGTACAGGTGCTGGCACAGGGACGTGTGATAATTCGTGTTGAAGATATTCAAGGCAAGCTCTGCAGTATCCTCAATTATCCGAGAAAGAGCCTAAAGATCATTCGAAAAAGTCACTAAAATAGCCTGTCCTTACCTGGGAAACAATTGCAGCGTGCAGGATAAGGATACTGCGCCCAACAATATGGGCGCGAACCCGCTACAGAATTTTTCGTTATCGGGGTCAAGGCAACCCCTAGACCAGTGAGACTGATGCTTGTAGCCCTTATTTAGATACCTGAATACTTCTTTGCGCTCAGGAGTAGGCCTTCAATGCGTTTAGCGAGGAAACTCCAGGCCCTTGTTGTACACATTTGCCTATGCTGCTGTAGTGCCATAGAGAATATCAATAGAAAGCCCGTCCTCTTGCTGAGGATAAGTTAGGAACTACCCGAGCTAGTGGGCCTCTCAAGACCAGGCAGAAGAGTAAATCGGCATTCACTATCTGGACTACTGGCCCCAGCTAAGGCTTTTCCACTCACAAGCAGAAACTACTTTGCAAGTTCAGATTTGATGTCTTGATAGTACAGTAGGGTATAGACGGATAAAAAAAAAAGACGTGAAAGAATTCTACCTTCAGATCCAACGCATAGATGTTCGCCTGCAGTAAGAAGGAAGAAAGAAAGCTCTGCAGATCACCTAATGACTTCAATCCTTACATGTCATCCAACAAGGAGACTGCATCTGCCATAATATGGAATTGCCAATCACGGAGTCAGAGCCGAATGTTGTTTCGGGTGGCCTGATTGGGAGAGATGAGGTAGTACTGGTTCTGATGCATTGACGGGCAACAAGGCATTCCGTACACGTTTGTATTGTTAGAATCATAATGCCTCATTCACTCGGCTCAGCCTGGCAAGTATCTCCTGGGGCCAAGTTCGTGTCACAGAATTCTCCCGCCTTCCCCAACTCATCTCCGAGTAATTGAATCGTCTTCTCGTAAACTCTTGCGGTCTCCATCTCCCATCTCCCTGGAGATGGATAGTCATCCGTACCGAAGACATCATCCATATCATCGTCGTCATCACTGAGGCCATCTTCATCTTCATCGTCAGGCCCATCAACTTGCTCTCTAGCCTCCACGACAGCTACACGGCAAGTTTCGGCAATACTTTTGATTCTGACTTTCTCCGTCATAGACACGACATTTCGTCTTGATTCGAAGCCTGGAAGAGGGGCTCCAGAGTCGGCATCCTCCCCTGTTAGGAGAGATGCAAATACAGAATCCATCTTCTTAAGTAGACGAAAAGTCGCCTTCGGAGAAAATGGGTATTCAGGGAGGTATGTGTTAATATACACAGCCAAAGAGATCAAATAGGGTATTTGAAGAGATGCTGTGTGAAATCAGTTAGGTTTATAGCTAAACTTCTTTCGCTCCGCGCAGAGAATGAAGCAGGGCAGATACACATACGGGTCCCAGTAACCCAGAGAATATCCACCAAGCCCTCGATGTCTTTGGCTACTTCTTTGAAGCTCTCATATCCCCTTTCCGACTCCTGCTGGGCCTGGTCATCAAATGCGCTGCTGAACTTCTTGGCATGTCGGCGATTAATGATCAAGATTGTCTTGTCAATATGGTTGATGACAGTGGTTTCTTTTGTTGAACCTGCCTTGAGGGGGTGCAGTCTTGGTCTGGGGAGAATGGATGGGGTAGCAGTGGATGTCGAAGGAGCCGGGGAGGAAAGAGATGGCTGTATGAATCCCCCTGGCTCAGGATGTGATGGAGTAAAAGACATGGACGAAAGTTATATATATAAAAGGTATTCAATGGCAAAGTGGTTTTCGTCAAAAATGATACAAGAAAACGGACCAAGCTCACAACACTTTTGTAGAGTGGCAAGGGATTAATAATGGAATGCACACAATTTCAGACAAGGCCACTATCCAGCCCCGTGCAGATATGCAAACAGAAAGAATGGGAAATACAGCGTTCCTTACTTCAAGTACCTCGTCGTGTATGAAGTTAGATGGGACATTGCAACACATCGATCGTGAGCAACCGAAGATGTCATGCCAAGCCCTGAAGATAGGATAAATAGGGTGGTCTGTGCGCACTTCAGAACTGATTATGTGCACCTCGCGAGTATCTACTACATAATACATGACCAGAGAAGATATAGTTGTAATCTAATCTATTATATATATGGGAATATAGGCAGAGGCGTAGCTAGTGCCCACCTTAGTATTGAGAATCCATATGTAGGTATACATATCATCAACCGATACATGCGCCTATTTGATCTCACAGCTCCGCGACCGTAAGATTCAGAAGGAAGTAAAAGTACCTGGTCGGAGTCTCGGTTGTCAGCAGGTGTCCTAGATCTGCGGCAGTGCTCTACAGACAGGGATGGTTGCTTATTGCTTCAGAGAGGTGAGAAGATATTGATTACGCTGGTTTTTGAAGGCATGGCATGACATCGACCAAGGTCGAGTCTTGCTTTCCTCTGGCCCCAGCGGACTCATCTTTGGTATGGAATATAATGAAATACGGTGCAAAAGATGAAAGAAAGATGCGCACTTTACTCACAGCCACTTCGCATGTACATCTCCAATCCATAGGGAAGTCAAAACTTTTAATCCATCCCAAACGCCATGCTAAGAATCGATGCCGACACATATTGAACGCATTATTCAGGCTAATAAGTCATCAGCAATGAGGAAAGGGAAATCGTAGAAACAGAATTGAACTCACCCTAATCTTCCCCTTCCGTTTCTTTATCTCCTCCAACTTCTTCTTATCCTCATCGAACTTCTTCAGCAACTCATTCTGCCTCTCCTTCCTCTTCTCTCTAGACTGGAACCGGTAGAAGTCCTCTAATCCCTGCGACTTCTTCTTCTGCTTCTCTATCAAGTCCCTAGCCTCATCTTCGTGTGCCACAGACGTAAGCTTCGGCCCACTCGTAACCGTGATAAACCCATCCTCGTCCGGCTCCTGTGCCCTGAGTGCCTGCTCCTTCCTCCTAGCCTCTGCAACAGCTTCAAACACTGTCATGAAGTCGTTCACCGTACGCAGCAACTCCGTGCGGGGAGGATACCGAGCCTTTTCATGGTCGAGATAACGCTGCAAGCCCAGCTGAGGAAGACGATCCTCAATGCCTTCGCCCCAGACAATTTCCCCATCCTTCTTTTTGCCCGCTTTCTTGGCCGCTTTCACGCTGGCCTCCATGCTAGGCTTATCGACAAAGACGACGACGGCATGCGCACCGCTTTTTTGGAGTTCACTGTCCCACGTAGACGGTAACGAGACGTCATCCAGCTGATTCTGTAGCTCATCGGCTGTCACTCGCTTTCTCTTTTTGCTCTTCGAGACATTCGCGACCATGCTATGCGCCGTGGTCATTCCTCCCTTTTTCTTTGTTGGTACGGCTTCGAAGTGGACTCGCTCCACACGGCCGGCGGCTAGCTGGGACCCGAATAAGTGGCGCAGATGTAGCTCTGTCGTGTCGATAGGAACATTGACTATGAATAGAGAGCGGGGTGTATCAGCATCGGGAATGCGTGGTTCATGAGGTCGGAGGTAGAGATAATGTGTTGCAGGCTTTGCACGCTTTGACTCGGCCGGGGGCAAACGAAGCGGCAAGACGGTGTAGCCAGCTATTTCTAGATCCTTTCCCATTTTTACGGTATGTGTTTAGTAAAAAAAGGGAAATTAAAAAGAGAAGAAAACTCAGGTTGATGGGTTTGTTGCGCGGAAGAAATTCTAGCGGGAATTTTTATTTTAGCCGGGAAGGCGGAGAAGATTTAGTTATAAATTTATCTGATAAAGAAAGTCAATCCCATTCTAGACTACCTGCGAACCACATGCACATGGAACTAGTGGACACCTGAAGTACACTTAATACGCTCATCAAAGCAAACGGTACTATCCTCAGAAGAAAACCGATTACTAGCTTTTCTCAATGTTAAAGCCCTTTATACTGCTCGTCTTGATCCGTGCATCACGGTAGAGTTATTGCATTCTACACCTTATCGGGATCATTGATACCGCCATTAGTGATCACGTATGTCGCTTCTTGTTCCGGGCAATCTAGATCTATCAGCCAGGATGGTCATCCTAATTCCAGGGAGGCTATACCTGGTGAGTCCTGGATTTTTGCAACACGTTCGTCGCCGCGGCCTTTGCGAAGAAGAACTCGAGTTGTGGATGCATGCGCTAGAACATGCCCACCCACAGGCTTGCGTCCATCTGCACCCGCAAAGAGGGCACTAGCACCAGGGTCGCTCTGGACTTGATTTGTCTATCTTTGCATGAGATTGACATTCTCCGCAATGATGAAAGCGACTCACCATTAGGACGCAAACATTAAATTCTAAAGTGATATCCGATCAGTCCACAAACCAAAGGGCCAGAATAGGAGCACAAACCTTCAGCCATATGGGCGAGCTTCATCAGAAACTGATTAAGCTTTTGCTGACGGTCCGCAAGTTCTCCGCGCCCACAGTAATCCACCCGGAAGCAATTCATGATGCTGTCAATAATCAAAAGACGGTATTCTCCACCAGTGAACTCTTTGCTCAGGACGTTCAACAACTCCAGCTGATGTTCACTATTAAGAGCCCGCGCATAGGCAATATTTTCCCGAGCGGAGTCAGCGTCAACGCCGAATCGTTCGGCAATCTGAGCAATACGCTCCGGTCTAAACGTGCCTTCGGTATCAATGTAAGCAACTTTGCCGCCTGCACCGCCCATTTCCTTTGGAAGCTGTGCGACAACGGACATAGTATGGGATAGCTGTGTCTTCCCACACCGGAATTCTCCAAATACTTCGCTGATACTCATGCTTTGGAAACCCCTAAGACCGTCAGTAGTTCTTTACATGGCGATAGTGCCTACGACTTACCCTCCCAAGATAGCATCAAATTGCTTGCTCCCTGTTGAGATACGAACGACTCGCTTCCGCTGATGGCTCAACTCCATTGCCGTGATAAATCCAGACGCAGATGGCTAGTCGAATCAGTGATCGTGGTATAATCTTAAGCCATGTTTTGCATACCAAGCACTTGTTGATGGCATCCTTGATCTTTTCAACTTTGACCTCGCTGAAGCCCCTAATCTTCAAAAGGGTCTTTCGGGTAGCCCCATGAACGGACTAAGTAGGTAAACGTAAGAATGCTTAAGAACCTGAACCCCTTTCGTCTATACAGGCCGTGGGACATACAGCAACAGTATAGAAGCCATTGGTCTTCAATTTTGTGATATCGGCGGCACCGATCCCTGTTCGTGGTGAGATTGTACTTTACACGGATGACAGGAAGGTATACCATGAGCTTGAATGCTGTCAACGTCCACGATGAAGATCTATAAGTGCCAAAGCTCAGACTATATTAGGAATCACGAGCTAGAGACATGGGAAGAGGGTGGAGTCTGAAAGAGAAATTAAGGGAAGAAACTCAACATCATCATTAAACTCATCACTTGAATTAGAGCCGGGCATGATGTTTGTGTAAAAGCGAGCCCGGTATAGGTTATAGTCGAGATTAGGAGATAAGTTTCTTAATAGAGGACTGATGCAAGAGGGACGAGCTCCGACTTGAAGTGAAAGAAAGTCGGCCAGGGTCACGAGCCTTTCCATAACAGGAATCGTCCAGAACCTCCAACATAGCAGGTCATGGGTTGGGCAACCTTATGGGGATGACAATCCGGAGGTAGTCCATAGTACAATGTTTCAGAAGATATTGGCTAGGCTAAGGCCAGGCGGAATGAGGTGGTTGCATGCAATCGAAGCCAGCCAGAGGTCTATAGAGATCTATAGACATAGGAATACAAAACCTGGACCTGAACGATATGGGATGCAACAAGAGAGATCACTTCTCAAAAATTGGAAGGTGTGAAACTATACGAAGGGAAATAATGGTGGAACTTAAGAAGAAATGAAATTTGCTTTTCTCTTTTTTTTCTGCTTTTGCTTCTCCTTCGCCAGATGTAGAGTATAGGACGGAAAGATGAGGTAACCACCGCGCCAGGTACCGTTCTTTGATCACTGATGACCTCCAATACCACAATCCCATCTGTACCATCTTGAAGCCTTTTCCAATGCATATCAACGCGTCTGCTTTGGTCCACCTATGTCTCTCCTGCGCTCAATTAACCCTTCGCCTCGCCTCGTCTCCTTCTTTTCTTGCCGCACCTATAATTCAAAATGTGAAAGATACCCGAGGGAACAATAGACGCCAATCATAAGAACCTGAGCCATGTATAGGATCCAAGCCGTAAGGGGGCCTAAGACTTCGTGAAACTTTTGTTCGTCGTATACATAAGAGGAATAGAAAAGGGCCGGTGCCGAGAACTGAAACACGGGGGCGTAATATATGCAAAGGAAGAAACATGGGAGTAGAAAGAAAATCAAAACCGTAGTCGGCAAGCCCTAATACAAAAATGAAAAAAAGGAAATAGGCTCCCAAAGATGGGATCAATCAATTCCGAACCACAACGGCTGTTTATGCGACAGCAGTGGTAGGAGCAGCAGGCGCAGCAGGGGCTGCCTCTGCGGTAGTCTCAGGAGCGGCGGCGCCAGTAGCAGGGGCAGCTGGAGCAGCAGCGGGGGTAGACTCAACAGGCTGCTGGGTAGCGGCCTCGTTGTTAGGGCAGTCCCGGGAAATGTGGCCAGCCTGGGCACACTTGTAGCAGACCTTGCCAGCAGAGCTCAAGGGACCACCGTTGGGGGCGGTACAGTCACGAGAGATATGGCCCTAGAAAAGGTTAAAATCCATCATTCGACCAACACAATGGGCTGCAGATTATACTCACAAGCTTGCCGCAAGCGTAGCACTTCATAGCCTGAGCCTGGCAGTCACGGGCGAAGTGGTTAGGGCCACCGCACTTGTAGCAAGTGGCAGCGCGAGGGTAACCACCGTATCCGCCGCGGAAGCCACCATTGAATCCACCACGAGGAGCGCCGACACCGCGGCCAGCGCCGGAAGCGGGAGCCGGGCAGTTGCGCTGGAACAAAATCATGTTAACCACTATTCTGACAATACCCCGAGCATGATTAACATACAGCAAGGTGGCCGGGCTGGCTGCAGTTGTAGCAACGGCCGTTAGCGCCATTGAGACGCAGAGTGGGACAGTCGGCCTGAACGTGGCCTAGACCCTGGCAGTTGTAGCATTGCTTGGCTAGAGAATACATGTCAACCTCCCTATTATTTCCTTCATGTCAACTGGGAATCCTTACTCTCGGTAGTACGGGGACGAGGGCAGCTGCTGGACTCATGGCCTATCGATGTATTAGATTTCGGGACTAAGAAGGTAGCGCGCGTGGTACCTTACCAGGCTGCTTGCCTTATGGAGAATGACATATTAGTGAACTATCCTCAGCAGTTGCAGGTAAGCAGAGTCACTCACAGTTGTAGCAGAGACGCTCAGACGAAGAGCACACCTCTATCAGCCCGTTAGCGAAATCCGGCGGATTGATAGTAGTCCTCTACAAAGGTGACCAACCAGCATAGTGGCCAATATTGCCACACTTGTAGCACGCACGGCGAGAAAGCAACATCTTGTCGGTATACTAGCTAGCCAGAAATATTATTGTCAGTCGCTATGCCAAACTGTCATTCATCTTGTAACTCGTTTCGTATGTGGTCTTCCTGCATGGTTTGTGGAACGAGCGCCGCCGAATTCAGTGGCCGGTAACCCAGCGATGTAAAAATCCTAGGTGCTTGCTCTCGCAGTCTTTCAATCATTTTGGACTACCCGAAACCCGACCAGTATAGGAAAGAGGAAAAAAAAAAAAAAAAGTGCGCATGTGAAGCACATCGAGAAAGATTGAGAAATCGAGCGGCGCTTGTGAGTCCTTTCATTATAACAGAGAAGCCGAAAGTCACGAGAAGTTTCCGAGAACTTTGGAGAGACTCACTCTTCCTAAAAACCAACAACAAACTTCAAATCTCCTTATCAAATGTGCTGAATTTGACCGTCAACTTGAGAACCTTGGAGGAGGAGCAACACTTCCAACAGCCCACTCTCGACACTGGAAAAAGGTGGGCTGACAAAGAAAAAGCGACTAAAAAAAAAAAAGTACACCACACAGAACTTACAACACAGCAGCTCTCCAAAACGGAACCCTCACAGCACTCCAACAATCCCTCCGAACCACAGGGAAGAACAGGAAATATCTTGAAAATTCTCGTAACCCACAGAAGAGTAAAAATTTCAGTCAAGCGATGAAGCCGAGACAGGAAAAGCCAGACGGTGTTTTAGTTCCGTACACTAAGGGTTACTTTCGATTACAGAACGCTAGAAAAAACGAGGAAAACAAGAGAAAAAACTTAACTCCCGGGCTTTCCCGTATTGCGTATGGTTGTTACAGTATTACCGTCGACATCCCCGGATTCCGTATCGTTTGGCATAGGCCTGAGGCACACGTTCCCGAAGGATTGACATTCTCTAGAATCTCTAGTGCTCCAGCCCTTGCATTTCCAATACCACCCGATTGTGAAACCTGATGTGTGAACTCTGAAGCCCTGACAGACGGTGCCGGTCTAGTTTTCCGAATTAGGATAAGCGCCTGACACTGTGTCTCTCTTTACGATTTTTAGATCTCTATTCCACTCTCATGTTCGGCAGACTCGCGCACATCCGTCCTGTCTAAAGGCTACATAGGGCAAGAGATGCTATATATATAGCACTTGAGGTAGATACTGCACGTAGCCGATAATCTCAGTAATATGGAATCGTCCTGGTCAACCCCTTTGGATCAGTGGAGTTTCTCCACGCAGAATACTCCCTATTTGAAGAGTATATACAGATCTGAGTGCTGAACCCATAGTAGGAGGCTATGGTTTGTATGTGCACTGTAGGTACAAGTGTTAGCGCTCACTAAGTGATGAAATTTAGTCAAATCTAGTATACGATATGTTATACTAGACAACTGCATAGAGTATACTCAAATCACCAGGTACAAATATATGTTTATCTAATAATTTGTTCTTTAGGCTGCACAGACTGGCTCTACCAGCTAATTGTTGTTTTCACTTCTGTTGCAAGTAGTATTGCTTCCATTTCAGATGTGGAAACTAGTTCATCTAACCAAATAACTGTTCCCAAGGGTGTTCTATTATAGGTATGATTTCGTTGTTTGATTGTGTGGCCTTGAATTTGACCAATCGAAGTGCCTATTATGCATAAGCTACTGGATCTGTACTGGATATTATTACTATAGGGATTGCTTCTGCGTTCCCTATCTTAATCGATCTCAATTTACGGGCCACGGGGACAGTGCGATTGTAAGTGACCAGGTTGAAAGAGCGACATCAGCTGGGCGCGGTGGCTCGATGGTTAGGAGTAGGGTTTTGGCTCTTTAGAAGAAGGAAATAGTGGGAAAAGGTTGGTCTGGTCATTCCCCACCTAATAAGAGGAATACGTTAAGTTGGGGAAGATGGAGAGTGTCTTTGTACGTTTACTACGCAATGTATTTGATCACTCGACATCTCTTGAATGAGATTCATTCTATGGCTCAGGTGCTGCTAAGCAACCATTTCATTCATATATTAATGTGCCCTGCAATGCATATGGTAACAGAATCAAACAGTAGTCATCAAAATATTTACTCTTCCTTCTCAATCACCGCTGGAGCCTTAATCTCACGGCCCTTGAGGAACTCAAGCCCCTCACCACCCTGTTCGATTTATGTTAGTATAGATCCTCAGATGAACACATGACTTGTTTGTTGTCGATCGACAATAAGAACGGCGAACTTACATAGCTGATCAGCGGGGAGACCTCAACCCCAACGGCCTCGCCTTCGGTGACAACAACTCCGCCGGCCTTCTCAATCCAGCGCTGTCCCTGGTTCATGATGTCGCGTTTGCTAGTGTCAGGGTCATCCTCACCAGTGCCCCTGGCATTCTTCAGCGGCGAGAACTCATCCTCGCGGCGTACCTCGATGGATGCAAACTTCTCCAGAGGGGTCAACGGGAAGACATCGAAGACAAACTGCTCCAACTTGATACCGTTGGGCTTTTCAGGTTTGAAACCCTCGCCGGTCTCAATGTTCACGCAAGGAATCTTCTTGCGAGCAACGTGGTGAGGCAGCTTGTGGGACCAAGTCTCGATAGACTCAAAGAAGCGGAAGGAATAGTAGTGGTTGACGATGTTGGCAGCGCGGAACTTCAGCACATCAGGTTGCTTGGGGTCCTTAGCCTCAGCCGTCTCCTTGTCGATTTCGGAGTATTCAACTACATCAGGCTTGCCATTCTTCTGAAGGATCAAACCAACCGACTCGGTAGCATTGCGCTTACGGACCACCTTAGTAGCGATATCAACCTTCTTGGAAGCGGCGAAACCAATGAAGACGGGGTCGGCAACCTTGACTAGGCAGTTGTCGACGCAGTAAGTGTGAATGTGTTCGATACCACGCTTCCGCATGTCTTCGCGCACACCAGAGGTAATGAGGGCTTGGTAGATTCCACCATTTCCGTCAGGGGCAACAGCAGCCTAGGCATAGTTGTCAGAACACTGGGTTGGTCTCCATCAAAGG